GGCCGGGGAGGCCTCTCGCTCGGCTGCTAGCCAGGCCGGGCCGCAGGCGACGCCCGGCGGGAAGCCTTCCCGGCGCGGGCGCGCGAAGGGGCCGGGGCTGCCGCGGCCTCTCGCCGCCCGCAGCATCCTTGCCCCGCGCCGGCCTGGCTGAGGGGCAGCCGGCGCCGGCCTCGCCTCTCCTGCCCAGGGCACGTGCCCTTGAGGGCACTTAGTCTCGTCTCGCTCTCCCTGACAGGGCCGGGCCGGGGCTCCCGGAGCAGGGCAGCCGGCCCCATGGGAGCCTAGCGGGCGAGTCGCCTGGAAGACTCCTCCGTCCCGCGGCCGGCGTTCGGCGTCGAGGGCGCGCGGCGCACGCACCCGCCTCGCCTCGCCTCAAGGTAACCTCCCCTGGGCAGACCCGCGCCCGGTGCGGATGCGCCAGGCTGCCCCAGCAAACGCGATTCGGGGTGCAGTGGCTGGGGATGCTGGGAGCTGTAGGACTTCCTTCTGTCTGGGTGTGATAGGCTGCACCTTCCTTGGATCAGGCAGCAGCATTACCTCCACAGGATGGGGTTTCCTATTCTTGCACCCCTTTTTCTTGGGTGGTAATGGTAAAGTTCCTGGCACTTTGAAACCTTAGATTTGTGTTGCACCTGGACAGAGAAACGGGGTTAATTTCTGGCTACAAACCAGGATTATTGTTTGGTATTGAACCACTGACTGGTCTGAGGTTTGGATGCAGCATGAAACATACCCAGGGAGCTTGTGTGGAGGAAGGCAAGGAAAGAAGCTGCAGTGTGTATGTAGGAGCCATTTTGAATATTCAAACCACAGTTTACCTAGTCTTCCAAAATCTGGTTAGCAAAGGTCGTGCAAAGTTTAAACAACCTTTGTATAATCTATGGCTGGCTCTAAGAATGGTGCAATCCTCACACAGCCCTTGTTGCCTGAATTTGTACAACATGACAAGCTGCAGCCACTGGTTGAATATTCAAAAACAGCCCAGCATGTGCCATGGTTCATCATGGCTTAACAAACTGTAGCATTTTGTTTGAGAAAGTCCTTTGCTTTAGCAACATATTCTTAAGCATATTGAAGTTCCAAAACTCCAGGGTTTTGTTTTGTTTTTGGCAAACACATGCTCATTTTGATTTAATTTCTTGTATACCTTGTGAAGACTGAAGGTGTCATGAGCAGCCTCAGTCATGATTTGTTCAAATGTTTTCAAATTCTCATAGAAATGGGAGTTCACCTGATTTTTAATAAAAGCTGTTGTTTTCCATAAAATGACTGCCAATTTGGGTAATCCCCAATTAAAACATTTTCTTCAATTGAAAGGGGATCCTTATTTACTGGAAAGTTAAATTTTCTTTTTCTACAAACTTGTGTGAAAGTTCCAGCAGCATTATTTAGAAGCCTACATATGTTTTCTTTAAAGTCTTGGGAAACACTTTCTTCCATACTTAATTTCTCAGACCATTAGGATTCAGTGATGTGCCAAGTGTTCATTGTTTATCTTTTATATCCTGCCTTTGCTCCTTTCAAGAAACTCAAAACAGCCGACATGATTCCCCTCCTCTCTGTCTTATTTTCACAACTACAGCCCTGTTAGGTAGCTTGGGCTAAGAGTCTATGACTTGACCTACTGAGCTGCATGGCTGAGTGGGGACTAGAACCCAACTTGCCTGAGTCCCAGTCCTGCACTCTTAACCCCTACACTGCAGTGGTTCTCTTTGATTTACAGCAGGAAGAGCCTTTTCAGTGGCATTGCCAGATGTGTGGAATGCTTTCCCGTGAAAGTCTTCCTTATGTTTGTTTTTGGTCTCTTTAGATGTATAAATGCTCAGTTTATCCTGAAGGCCTCAGCTGGAAATAGGATTTGACTTTTGCTCTGCATTAGTATTACTGTTTTAAATTATTTTACTTTGCTTTGCCACTGTCAAGGATATCATTTAATGGCACTGTGGATATTCCCTTGAAATACAAAGTGCTCATGCAAGGAAAATGATCATATGTGAAGCAGCTCTTAGACTAATCATGACTGTTCATAGACTTAATTTACCTATGGAAATGGAGAAAAATCAGGCGCAAGAGCAAAACAATGGAACAAGGCCACAGGGCATTCAGTAGGAAGAGTAGAAGGTTAGCAGGAGGAGTTTGCATGGAATCAGAGCAATTTGAAGTCACAGGTCAGAAGGCAAGTAGCAGTTGATTAAAATCTGGGAAACAGATGAGGAGTGAAAGTAGGAGGTGGGTTTTTGGAGAAGCAACAACTGGCTGCCAGAAGATGACCCTTCCCCAAAACATTCTTGAAACTGTAATGTGTTGGATGCTGAATGCCACCATTCTGGATGACTGCTTTCTTCCATCCAGAAAGGGGTGCCATTCTGAGTGGAAGCAAGGTTTGTGGGGCCATTGCTAGAGATAGAATTGAGTCTGTCCCTGAAACACATTTTCCTACAGTATCTGGAACTGCATTCTTCAGGGTTTTCAGTTTTAACAATAACAGCCTGCATGTTCGTTCCTTGTAACAGGGATAGGAGAGGCTAGAGTGACTGCCAGTCAGAACAGGTGGCACTGGAGGGCTGGCCTGGGGCACTGAACTGCAATGTTCAAACAATAGTAGGGATTTGACTGGATTTTCACCCCTTCCCTTGCCTCATCCCACTGTCATTGTGGTAAATGTATGTTGCTACAGTTCCCAGGAATTCTGTCTTGCTCTCTTTCCAATCAGTAATATCTGGGGTTCAGTTTTATGTGTGTGAGTTTTTTCAAAGCATTTACTTGTCAATAAACTAGAGAAAACTGTACATTTCACACATTGCTGCTTTTTATTGTCTAGTGCCACAATGGCAGAGCTTTTTATGGAATGTGAAGAGGAAGAGCTTGAGCCATGGCAACAAAAAGCAAAACCAATTGTTGTGGATGACGACGACGACGACGACGAACCCATCTTTGTTGGGGAGATCTTGAGCTCCAAGCCAACCAATACCTGTAAGGTGGCAGTTTGCAGTATTTTAGTGAGCAGACTCACTAGGTTTTTGAACTGGTGAAATGATAGATTGTAGCTTTGCATTCAATATTGACCCTCTTCTACAGCATTGGAGTGCTGTCAGTGAAAGCCTCAAAAGCAAATGAGTGCAGGATTGTATGGAATACATTTATATGGGCATCTGTTTCACTGGAAATACTTGGATATTCTTTCCCATTATTTGTACTTCCTTCTTCAGAGAGTGTTAGTTCAGAAAGGCGAGTTTCTAGATATATTTGTGCCATTCTCCCCAGTTGTTTCTTCCCTGATGTTAATGTCAAGCCAGAACAATCTAGGAAATGTGAAAACAAAAGCATGACCGCTGGCTACAGTATCTGTGATGTTCTTAGACTTTTCAGTTGGCTGCAGCTGCTTGCATACATAGTCAGCTAAAAATGTAAGAAAAATATTGATGTTCTAATTGCATTAAAGATTGAGTTAAGGGTCTGAAGTGCAGCTACAACCTAACACAATTGCCTGGCAACCGAACATGCCTGACACATCTTGAAACTGTTCAGTGTTTATACTGTTCCTCATACCTTGCCCGATGTTGAATGCTACCATGCCAGGTGACCATTTCCTTTCACCCAGCCTATATATAAAGGGTATGATCTCAATTGATAGTTAAGTTTGTGGGACCATCACTGGGGTCAGAATAGAGTCATTTCCCAGAAATAGTTATGTGGTTACTGAGCAGCTACCAGAATGTAATTCAACTTGATCTTACCTATGATTACTTGGAATAACCCTGCTCACTTCAAGACATAGTTTTACATGTGTGTGTACAGGATTGCAGCTTGACTTGACCCTTCAGATAAAGGCTTACAAAGCAAGCTTGGTCAGTGATAGGTTGGTCAGCCCAGGGTCTACTCTGAAGATTCTCTGTTGGAACAAAATCGCTCCCTAAACAGATTGCATCTGCGGGTGTGTGCTTGCATGTGTGCAGAGAAATATAAAGGCAAATCCTAGGAGATGCTTGCAAGAACCCTATTACTTGGCTGCATGGGTCTTGGTTTGACAGAAGTATTGGGGATCTTGCAAAGGTAGCTCTTTAAGGCAAGCAAAACACCAGGCAAACCTTAAGGCTGCTCTGGATTAGTTTGTACGTGCAGGCTGCCCTCACGCCAGTGCTTTGGGCTCACAGGGCTTGCTCCCAAGCTCATGCAGGTGTGCCAGTCATTTCTCGTGGAAAGGGCTGCCACCAGTTCAAGTTCACTGGAAGCATCCCATGCACCTAAAGCTGCAGTTCTATACCCGCTGATCTGGGTACACACACATAGGATTGTGCTGTCAGGAGACTGCCTTTCTTGAGTAAGGGACTTGCCTGAAGCATTTTTTAGTTAAAGAGGGTCACTGAACTGGGTTTGGGAACTAGATTCCTGGGAGCAATTGGAGGGATTTTGGCTGCTGTTTCTAGCCTTGCTAAGACTACAGAACTGAAACGAGTTGGTGCACATTCATAGTGGGGAATACCTATCTTTGTTTGCATTATTTCCAAATGTTCCTGGGAGTATATTTTATTTCACCTTTGTATTAGAAATAATGAATGCACTTGAAACATATTTCCTTTTGACAGATATATTGAACAGAGTCAGCCCCAGTTCGCCACGTATTGGAATGCAGAATGGTGTACCAAAAAGAGGTATTACGCTCCCAAAATGGCAGCTTAAAAATTGATCTCCTTCCCATGTGCATGTGGCAGTATGTAACAGCATATTCCGTAATTCTGTGTGGCAGGTGCTGTGGCTGTTTCTCCCGGGTTTCGTTCTGCAACGAGACCTGCAGCCAGCACTCTCGCCGTTCAGCCACAGCCAAGAGCCAGCAACGTCCCGGGAGCCTCACAAGCACTGCAGAGGCCTCTTTCTGCTTGTTCATCACCACAGGAGACAGCCAAGTCAAGTGCTGGAGCACCTCTGCCAGTTAGTAGATCTGCCACATCATCGAGGAACCTCAGCATCCCAGCACTGACTCAGGCTGCATCCAGGCCGGTGGCCACGGTGACTGCGCAACCAGCAGCACTAAATCGGGTAGATATTGTCCCTCTTGTGTTACCCAGAGAGAGTGTGTGCTTGTTTACCTGAAAGTTACTGAGCCGTGTTGATGTGCCCCACCCACTGAAGGCTTTGTGGCTCACGTGGGGGGTTTTAATAATGTAGCAGACTTTGCTTGAAACTTGGCACACACAGAGCAGTCCTGGACTGCAAGCTGAACATTGAAATCTTGAAGTGTCCTCTTTAAATAAAAAGAGAAGGAGCATTCATTGCCTTTAGGATGATGATAACTTGCCGTTAATAACTTTTCACACAGTTTACGTAGCTGCAAGAGCTGTCCTGCACTGAAGGAAACACTTCTGATTCACTGAAAAAGATCCCCCTGGTTTGTTAGGTCATAGATTTAAAAATCAGCAATAATTTTTAATACACAGTCTCATCTGAAGGTGTTCTCCTGCACAGCTGGGGCACTGGTTTCCTGTATGATACCTGCTGTGGAAGCTGTGGGCGTCACCTGATGTCAGAGCTGCCAGCTTCAGGAGCCCGGTGCGCCACAATTCCTTGCCTCAGCCTGCTTGTCTTTCCCCAAGGACAAATTTCCCTTCCTGTATGCACTGCAGGGCATGAGGAAGTGCATGGGTGCCTGCTTCCCATTGGGAACAGTGAAGTGCAGCCCCTGCCGGAAGTCTTTTCTGAGGCTTGCGAGGCAGGAAGGAGTGAAGCCGGAATAGTGAGGGTTGCTTTCAGGCAAGCTTGTTAACTGTCATTTATGCTCATGAAGTGAGACCGTGGTCAACACGTGTTTGTAAAATGGTGGAAAAGTTGCAGGAATTACAACTGTAGCCATGGTTCCTGTGCAGGACTCTTTGGCTGCAATGCTTTGCGTGTTTACTGAGGAGTAAGCTGCTTTGAATCCAGACCTTTCCATGGATTTAATTGAGCAAGTTTTGTGCAGTCCTTATCTTAGTTCTATGCTTTGGGTTGATGTTGTGCGGTACTTTGTAATCTAATAGGATGAAATAACAGAAATGCTTCAGAAACATGAACATAAACAGTGAGTTTTGCTTCTGAGCAAACATGCATAGAGTATTTTACAGGGAAATTCTGTACCCACTTTCTTGGGAATAAGTCCCATTGCACTCTGTGGCTCTTCACTTTGAGTACATGAGTATAGGGTTACACCATTAAAGTAGTAATGTTTAAGTACCTAAATACAACTTGTGATTTATTTAAGATGTAATGCAAAGCATCCTTTCTGAGCGGTAAGAAACTCTGGTTGAATTGGATTTTGCAACTGGCTAATAAATGATACTGTTTGGCTAGTTAATTCAGTCACAATTTGTGGACCACTTAATTAGCTTCATGCCATGTTGTGGGATTAAGGGCATTGTTCCAGGACGCAGCATGGGAAATGATAGAAAGCTGAGAAGCAGAGTTAGTAGTGGGGAGACCAAGCTGAGGGATGGGAACTGTCCATTGGGAATGAGGAGCCAAGGTATCCAGTGCCGCCATAAACGATGATCATGAAAGTGGACCCTTGTTGTGCATGCTTTGTTTCTATGAGTGCCTTGGCTGGGGTTGTACTTGAGCTGGTTACAGCTCCTCTGGGATGTCAATTGAATGTCACTGAAGCAGGAAGGCATTCAAGTGAAGCATCGTCCTGGCACCAGCGGTTTCATGCTTGAGCATTGGCTACCTGTGAATAGGCCTGTTCCAGAGGGCTCTCGTGGTTGAGTCAGACCTAGTTGGGTTTGTGTGATTGTAAAATGGGTAATTCTGTGCAGATGTATTATTACATCTCCAAACTCACCCATATGGTGGTTTATGAAGATTAAAATCTGACATACAGTACAAGATCATAATCTAGCACTCTAACATACAAAATATATGTTAAAATAAATTTGTTAAATATTAAACAGTTTTAAAATGACCAGCAATTACGAGTCTTGGGACCCATTTTAAAAGACTTATCATATGCTGTCACATGCCTAAAAGTAGAGGAAAGTGACGCAGGGGCCAAAAAAATGTCAATTTGGTCCTAGGCGGACCTCACTGTGGAGAGTGTTGCATAATTGAACTGTCATCAAGCAGGCCCTCTCCCCTCTCGCCATGTTCTAAATATCCCTTGGAGGATGCACTTGCAGGCAGTTTTAGATGAAATCTTAGCTTATAGGTAGGTTCATGTCAGGAAAGCCACTCCGTCAGGTGCCTTCAGTCCTGCGCTGTATAAGGCTTGATAGGTCAAGACCTGAACCTTGAATTGGGCTTGGGAAATGTACAAGCAGCCAGTGCCGTTGGGCCAGAATTGGTATTGCATGTTCAGACTGTTTGGTTCCTGTTACCAGCCTGAGCACTGCATTCTGCAGATGCTGCAGCATCCAAATTGTCTTCAGAGGCAGCCCATACGCTTGTACATTACAATAATCTTAACTTTTGCATAGTTCAATAGAATGGATCCTCGCTCTAAAATTCAGCACCCTTGTAGGGGAGACAAGAAAAAGGGAAGGAATGTGGGGACAGGCATGAATTGGGAAGTGATAGATGGTACTTTCCAGCTGTGTAAATGAAGGCAGGGTTGCAGGCTCAGATGCAACACCCAGATGTGTTCAGCAGTGGCTCTCATCCCTAGTCCAGCATGGCTGTCAGGTGTGAAGGTTCCCAGTTTAGGGAAGATTAGGGCATAGGAATAACGGAGCTGTACCGACGGCTTCATGAACATGGTGGGATTTGAGAAGGGATCTGAAGTAGGTAAGCATGGGCAAGCAGGCAGCTTGAGAGGACATTTTGAACATATGAAGCAGCAAGAGAACGGCTGGAATCTTGAGGGTGAATGAGCCCTTTGAAAGGGGCAGGGTGATGGAGGAGAACTCATAAACAGGGATACGTGTTAGAGGATGGGGCAAAGCATGAGCAGTCTTTGGCGTTTAGATGCTGACTGAAATTTGCAATAGCTGTTGCACATTGTGCTGGCTTAGACCTTTAGAGCAAGGAAAAATTTCTCAGCAGAAATTGCGAGGCATTTTTAGCAGAAATCTGAAATTGTATTAAAGCTTGGTTGATTTGCTGATTCAGCTCAAGAAATGTGCATCCCTCCTAATTTTGGATCTCTTAAAAAAAAAAAAACTGTTGAATGTATGCTTCGCAAGTGAGCACTGAATAAAAATGGGGAAAGTGTGTTTGTTTAAAAAAACGGTAGTCCAAAAAATGCTCCCTACAAGGGAGGTGTAGCTGAGCTAATTAATGAATTCGTTACAGGTTCCACCAAATAACACTTCAGGCGTAGCCTATAGCTTAAGGCAAGATGTGGGAGGGTCCCAATGCCAAAGCGGATCAGCAGTGAATACAGCAGGTATGTCTAAGAACATTTTCAGAGCTTAGAATTACGTTAGTAGCAAAGATCAGTTCTTAATTGTAAGGCATGAAACAGCTTAAAGCATTATCAAAGCATTACCAAAACAATAAGTTCAATTTATTATCCTATTCATTAGAAAGTGCCTAAAGGCAGAAATTGCATTTGCACTTATACATTACTTGAAGCCATCGTACATATTGGCATTATGCCATTGGCTTCACTTTCTCATAAGGCTTTGGAATGCTATTTTCAGTATGTTATGAGTTTCATTAACACAGTAGAAAGTACTACAAAATCCAAAAACAATAGCTCTGTTCCACACTCGAGTGCAGGGCATGATTCCATAAGGGCACTGATGGGTGCATTCTGCCTTGGATAAGTGATGGTGATATGCTGAGATCATATCACCAGATATGTTGCAGCCCGAGCACTTTTGCTGTCCACTGTGTCCCTCTTGAGACCAAGACAGCAAACTTCTTGTCTCAACTTTGATAATGCTGGCTGCTGAGGAAGGCATTTGCTGGGCTCCTCCCTAATGGTTTTGCTGCTTTTGTCATGCAGATGCCACAGAATGATGTGGGGCAGTTCTCATTATCCTCCAGAGAGCTTTGTTGTGTTCCCTCCAGTCCCCACCTCAACAAGAATGAAATGGCTGGAGAAGTCCAGTTCCGTGCCATTGCTATGTGGATAGATATCTTTTCATCAAACCAGGGTCCTGCAGCCTCAGTGCTGCCCTGATATGGCTGGGAACTGGACATGGAAAAGTTGGTGGAGACTGAAGGAAGGATGATGGCCCAGGTATTGTGAACTGGGGTCTGTCCTCAGTCATGAAGTATGGAGGGCTTCTGAACCTGTTAACAGGTTGTTGCCAGGAACACTTCAACTTGCAGTGGCAGCCTGCTTTGTAAGGGTCAGCCCAGCTGCTGGGTTTCTCCCTTCAGAAGGCTGCGAAGCCTCGCCATTTGCTCTGCATGGGAGAGCCTCTGACCACTCAGATGCTTCAGCTGGGGCTGAGCAGAGCAGTCTCCGACCACTGAGGGGGTGGATGGGAAGACACATGGCCTTGAACCAGTCCCTGCCCCAATGCTTCTGCTGCCTTCACAACCCCTCAACAGATTGAGGTCTGCTTGCTCCCTTGAAGTTCGTAAGGGCTCTCGATTCAGATGCTGGTGCCCACCCAGTAATGTTACAGGCATATCTAGTTGCGTGGTTCTGTCTGAAACAAACCCTTGCGTTTCTGTTGATGCATGACGGCATGTATGTCCTAAGGCTGATAAGTAATCTAATGTAATTTAGTGGATTACCATTTTTGTGGTGTATGTGACTGGAATTCATACCATTCTAGGATGTTGATCTGCACACAGGTGGTTGGTCCAGGGTGAAGTGCTCTGACTCCGGAGCAGTAGAGCTCCTCCTGCATTTAACACCCTTAAAGCACCCTACTTTCAGGGTGGGAGCTTCTCTGAATGCCAGGAAGTTTCAGAGTAGCCCTTTGACAATGGAGCACCTGACATTAGAGTACTGATCTACCGAAGAGAGAAAGAGAAGGTTTATTTGGATACTTTTAAGGATCAGAATGACCAATCTAGAATTTGAGGTACCAGAGGAATGAGCAGCAATTACGTGTGCAGTGTGTTAAACAATGAAAACGAAGGTATGCTTAATTTGTCAACTGCCTCTAGGTTTGTCCAAACGTCCTTCAACTTCTGAAGCTAGTAGTATAACCCCGAAAAAGGCCAAGGCCAATGAAACAAGATCTGGAAGTGAATCACCTGTCTCGCCTTCAGTTAAATCTCCAAGTGAGACCTCATCAGTTCAGAAAGGTAAGATAAGTTGTATTGCCCCAGCAATTAAATGCGTGCATTATTTCAGTGTGGAGATGTAACACGGGGAACTGCCAGTGCTGGGCTCAACACATCTGCCCTGCCCGGAAGCACTGCAGGGATTGCCCCGGGCACCTCTTCATGCAGAGCCATGGCCACAGCTCAGAAGCATGGTCTTAAGTCAAGATGGGTGCCAAGACCAAGGGACAGACTGACCGTTGGTAGTAGTTTCATGTCCCCTTACACTGTACTGGGTGGAGAAACTGTCCCTATTCTAGGCCAAAAATCCAAATAAAGGTAACAATTTGGTAGGGACTGTTTGTTTCCCGTCTTCAGATAAGTTTTCTGGAACAATAGAGGAAGTGACCGCAAGACTTTGTGCGGAGGATGTGTGGCCTGCGGGCCTCTAGAGGTCACTAGATTGCAAGTTACATCTTGCCTCACCAGTTGGGGCTGATGTGAATTGCAGTCCAACATCACCTGGAGAGCCACATGCTCTGCATCCTTGTTACATACCCATGACTGTGTGCCTGGTGAGCTTCAGCCCCCGAAAGGCCAGCAGTGGATGTTGTTTGTGTCCGTTAAGACTATAACAGGGTGAGGACTGCGTTCGGAAGGAGTAGAGCCCTTTCCCTGGTTTGGGCCCACAGACACATTCAGAAATCTGAGGAAGTGCTGTGGGCACCACCACACAAAGCCTGATCTGTGGATTGCTGCTTTGGGGTGTGCCTGTCAAATATATGCACCCTGTCCTGTGCCTCATTCAGCAAAACCTTTGATGTTGTGTCTGTTGGAAACAGCAACGTCTCTTTCACAAGGGTTTGTGTAATTTGGTGAATTGCTGGTGCTGCAACACCACCACAAAATAGCTCAAGCGCATGTTTTGGCCATACCCAGTGGTTGCTTCTTTTGGGGAGGAGTTTACAAGGCATAATGTACTGGACAGTTCTTGATACTGATGTGCAGATTTAAAGTAATTAGGTGCATCATCAAAATTAACAAAAAAGGGAGAGATGGATTATCTGCACCCATTTTGACAGCTAAAAGAGATACTAGAGAATTGGAAGGACAAACATCTTGAAATGCAATGCACTGAGGACTTCAACCCTTTCAATATATGAATGGATGGTGTATAGATAACACCTTCAAATGGATATTCATTTGGCTATTTGGTCTACTTTTGTTGTAGCCTATGTATAATTGCTAGAAAGTAGTATGCTTTTCATTCAAATTCATGTACATTTATTAGTAAAACAAGAAACAATACCAGTAAATGGGCTTCTGAAGGCACCATGTTGTGCATGCCTCACTGAAGGGACCCACAAGAGCCGTGTTGGCAATTCTTGCTCTAAAATTACATCAGCTTGGAAACAAATTGCATGGAAGGAAGTGCCACTGCAGCAAGAGAGTTCTGGATGCAACAGATCAGCCACAGCAATAAGTCCAAAGCAAGTTACTAGCCCACAGTTTTATTAGTACAACTGAAAAAAAAATGTATCCAATCACATGGGATAACACCTCTTTTTCCTTGTACAGGTATTACATCAAGCAATGTTAAAAATGGGGCCCCATTTCCACAAGCGTGTCCAAAGTGTAATATTCATTTCAATCTTTTGGAGCCATTAAAAAATCACATAAAGGTAATAACATGCAGTTATAAATGTGATACTGGTGTGAATGCATTTTAAAAGAGACAAATACTGCCAGGTTGTCTTCCTGCTATGCACTGAAAGTTATCTTCTAAAAGCAAAGATAACACAATACACAATTAAGATTATAACTAATGTATGTATTTGTATGTGTATTTTTATGGTTCCTTCTAATTTGCATTGCATTAATAATTTTTTTGAATGGTAGAACCTTCAGCTGCGGCATTCTTATTTGGGGTACATATTTCCAGCAAGCGTTGTTGCTGAGTATATTGGAACTCCTAGAGAAAATACATACTTAATTCAACCCACTCTTACTAGCAGAATTGAAGGAAGCCTGGGATAATGTGTCAGTGGGCCAAACCCTGTGCAGCTCGGAACAGCTGTTCAGCAGTCCCGTTTCTTGAAAGCTTTCCAAATTTATGGTAGGCATTTTATGATGGGATCTTCCTTTATACTTGTAATGCTTTGTGCGCATCCCATGAAAAGCAAAGCTGGTATTGCTGTCACGTAATGCATAGCTAACTAAGCAGACAGTTTTAAATCACTGATTGCTTGGGGAGTTTGGGATTCCATCAGGAGTGAGGCTAGCCTTGAGGTGGAATGAAATGTTCTTTAGGTAGCAAGCAGTCACAGGAACACAGGAAGCCCCTTGTACTGAGCCAGGCCACCTGCTCTGTACTGTCTGCACTGACCGGCAGTGGCTCCCCAGGGCCTTGGGCAGATGGCTCCCCAGACCTGTGGCACGGCCAGGGATCGACCCTGGTGCCTTGCACCTGCAAGACACGCACTGTGCCTGGGAGCTCTGGCCCCACCTCTGCCTGCTTGCTCGCCAGTGAGTTTGATGATAAAGGCATTTGATCCACCTCCTGCTCTCTTGTGTATAGCACTTCCTTGAGCTCAAATGAGAGATGCTGGGCGAAGGGCAGATGGATGTCTGTTAGGTTCTGGGTTTGCTTATTTTGAGGGTAAGTTTCATTATGGTCTTTAACGTATTTTTGTTGTCCTCAGTATTGCTGTCCAGATATGGTACATAACTTTCTGGGAACAGCCAAAACGTGCTCTTTGGGTACAACATCTAAAGCTGCTGAAGCAGAGAAAGGAAAACTGATCATGTTGGTTAATGACTTCTATTATGGCAAGCACGAGGGTAATGTCCAGCAGGTGCGTCAGGAGCAGAAGACACATACGACCTTCAAATGTGCTAGCTGCATGAAGCTTCTTAAAAGTAACATCAGGTACTTCCCCTTCTCTTCCTTTCCCCCTCCTTCATTTACATCGCACTTTTTTCTCCTCTGAGGAACCCGGGTCAGCTTCATAGCTCTGTTTTTATCCTCTTGACGGCAACCCTGTGAACCTGCTTGGGCCGAGAGTGAGTGACTGACCCAGAGTCACCCAGCAAGCTCCGTGGCCACGTGGGTACTAGAACCTGAATCTTTCAGGGCACCAGTGCAACATGCTCACCACTACACTGGCTCTCTGCCCTGAGAAATGGGATGAAGGCAAAACTGTAACTTGAGGCCCAGCTTTGCCTGAGTGTAGGTCCCAGTGCCCTTGCAAACATCCCTAGCAATGCCCTTTTCTCTCTCCTTGCAAAGCTGCTCTTACGTTCTTCCATGAAGTGGTGTTCTTCCAGTGCTACATACAGAGTAATCTGAAGAAGTCATTGGAAGATTGAGGGGTTGGTCTGGATTCCTAGACTGGATGTCCTTTTTGAAGAGGAAAAAATAATTCCTGTGGATTATGAGAATGACTGTTTCTCTAGGAGGACTGTCCTTTTTCTTTTGTTTCCAGTATTTATATATCATCCAATGGCAGTGGCCACCTATTTGATGGCTTTAAAAGGGGAATGGACAGATTCCTCAGGGAGAAGAAGACTGTCAAGGGCCCCTAGTCCTGATGGCCACATGATCTCTTCAGTGTCAGAGACAACATGCCTGTGTACACTAGCTGCTGGGGAACATGGACAGGTGAAGGCTGTTGAACTCCTGTCCGACACAAGAGTTTCCCATGAGCAGCCACCTGGCTGATGTGTGAGCAGAATGCATCACACATGGATCCTCGGTCTGGTCCAGCATGGCTTGCCATAAGTTCTGCATGTCCCCTGGGCAGTTTATAAGCAAAGGATTAAAACCATAAAATTCAAAAAATAAAATCTGAAACAAGATAAGGAGTAACAGAATAAAACCTATTCAGTCTATTCAGCATCAACGTAATTATAATTTAGGCATGTAGGAAGCTGCCAAATACTGAATGAGATTCTTAGGTTATCAAGCTTGGCTCTGTGAGGCTTCAGGCAGGATGTGTTTTGAACCGTGCCCAGAGGGGCTGTGGGACTTCTGTGGACAAAGCAGGAGCTCTGCCACTGAGCGACAGCCCCTCCAGTGGTGCCCGGTTACACCAGGGAGGCCCAAGGAGCCTGTTGGCTCTCAGGAGGGCACAGCAGGTACTTCACGGTGCTGCTTGAGATGGCACCTCTCTGCTCCACTCTGCAATTATGGGTTTGGGTGAAATGTCACCGATTTAGCTGTGACCTGTTGCTCTCAGGTTTATGAACCACATGAAGCATCACCTGGAGCTGGAGAAGCAGAACAGTGAGAGTTGGGAAAGCCACACGACCTGCCAGCACTGCTACCGCCAGTTTCCAACACCTTTCCAGCTCCAGTGCCACATTGAAAGTACCCATACCCCTCATGAGTCATCAAGTACGTTTTAAAAAACTCTTTGCTTTGTGGGTGTGGCTGTGTGTGGAGGGGGGAGTTTTTCTTCCCCTGAGGGGCAGAAGAGAATCTTGTTAAGCTGCCATCCAATTCAGCTAGTGACATTTTACCTGCTTGAGTAGGTCCTTGGGTTTCACAGCATATATGAAGTTACTTACAAGAAACCTTTTGTAAAGCAGCTTTGGCCTCTTGATTCACATGGTTCTAAGGGAGCCAAGGGGTTGGAATGTGTAGCCCAGGCATTGATGGGACTCTGCAGCCAGTGAAAGCTGGCCTCCGTCCTGAGGTGGAGGGTGGTTTGGACCAGTGTTGAATCAATTTCTGTATCCAGTGTAAGTGTTCAAGAGCGCTAACTGAAAATTACATGGAAGGAAGTTTTCAAATTCCCAACATGTTAGTCTTCCATGACAAAAGAGCTAAACAGTTTAGACTGGTTGGTTATTCTAAAAAATAAATTAAACTGGCAACTGAGATTGAACCGGAAGCCTGAGGGTCAGTTAGTTCATACAGGGGTGCCTCAGCAGGGACTCTGAGTCTCAGCACTGGCATCAGAGTCTGTGTCCGAATATGGTGGCCAGTCCGAGTGGGGCAGACAGCAGAGCGCACTGCTCCTTCTCTTGAGCAAAGCAGGGTGGATACTGTCGCCCCACTGCGATGGAACCACGTGGGGAAGCTAGTGAAAGGTGTTCCAGAGCCATGTCTGCACTGAAGACTCCTGCGGTTTTGTCCTACTCACTGTCTTGTTTTTAATTTAGCCCTCGTTTCTGCTCTCTTCCAGCTGTTTGTAAGATATGTGAACTTTCCTTTGAATCTGAACAAGTGCTTTTGCAGCACATGAAGGACAATCACAAGCCTGGGGAAATGCCATATGTTTGCCAGGTACCGCAGAGTGTGCATTTTGCACATGCCTTTGGCTGACTTGCTGTGTCTAAGGAACATTACTGCAGCTCAGCCTTTCTCTCTCTTTCTCTCTAGGTGTGCAATTACAGATCGTCGGCATTTGCAGATGTGGAGAAACACTTTAGAGCTATACATGAAAACACTAAAAGTTTGCTCTGTCCATTTTGTCTTAAAGTTATTAAACTTGGGGCACCATATATGCACCACTTTATGAGGCATCAGGTAAGGGTTCATCTGTGGAGTGAGAGGCAAGCAGGCAAGAGGAATGCAAGGCTTCTGTGTGACAGTAACTAGTAACTGGGTTTGTGGCTGCTGGTCCCCCTCCTGCCCCTGAAGAATGCCTGGTATGAATTTAGGTCACAGTGCTAGTTGAGGCTCAACCACAGTGAAGCAGGAAAGGGGCTGCTTGAACTCTTGGCATCTGCTGACCATGGAAGCTCTCACAAATGGCTCAGCTAAGCACATGAAGCTCCGTATGCCGGTTGAAAGGGGATGATAGCCAATTGAAGTAATAAACTACAATCCCCTGGTGAGATGGTGCTTGCAAGAAGAGTTTGATGGCAGGAACAGATTGCAGCTATGTGTAGGGGCATCAATTTTGTATTGCCTTATGTTTTCAAAACCTCTTGCAATCTTAAGCTGCTGTGCCCATGAATTACAGTATTACTGAGGTGAAACTTTGAGATTGCATTGTCATTTTGGCATGAGCTCCTCACTTCATTCTAGCGTCAATGTTTTTACTTTTTCTGCTCAAAGAAAAAGGGAGTGCATCGCTGTGCCAAGTGCCGACTCCAGTTCTTGACATGCAAAGAAAAAATGGAGCATAAGTCTCAGCATCACCGAACATTCAAGAAGCCTGCTCAGTTGGAGGGGCTGCCCCCAGGAACCAAAGTAAGCTGAATGCATCATCTTGTGCAAGTGAGAGACAGTTGGTGATTCAGAGCAAGAGAGGGCTTTGCGTGTGCCCCGGGGATGACTGTTCCCCACCGGCGCTTTGCGGGAGGGCCCCTGCACAGCTGTGCTCTGGGTACTCTTGTGCCCATAGCAGAGGACTCCATGGAGAACCCAGCATCGAAGAGGCAGGCTTCCCAAGGGATTCATTTGCATTGCTTGAGAAGCTAGCTTCCTGCTGGTGAGAACTGCATGCACTGAATCAGGCTGCCTCATTCTGATGATGGCTGCAGTTACATGAGAAAAAATGTGGTTCAGAAAGGAGTATCCATGCAAATATGAAACTGAGTGTATAGGCAGCCTGTTCCCCAAGGATGTGCAATGGTTCAATCCTGAGCAGCTTTTCGCAGTGCTGTAAAAGCTTCTTGTTTGGCAGTTCTTGGGGGCCCAAGTTTAGATCAGCAACCAGGAGATTTAACTTGTCCTGAGTCATTGTCTGTTTTGATGAAAGATGGGGTTGTTACCTGCACTGGCCTTTGTGGAGTGGCAAAATATAAATAAATATAAATATATGAACTGACACATTCCTTCAGGCGTGGCATCCCGGTGGGGTTCCAGCCATCCTTGATTCTGTGACAGTCTTGTCCCAGTGTGTGTGCTCTGTGAGTGAGCAGGTGGGGGCTGCCGGGGCACGTGAGTGCGTGGCATTGCTTTGCTCTGTTTTAGAACAGACACACTGGGAGTGGAAGACGGTCGGCTTTGTGCAGGCTCTGCTGCTACTCAGTTCCTTTGAGAGGGCGAACTGGCTGAGATTGCACAGAGCTGCTCCATCCTGTGCTGCTAGTATATTTTACTTCAAGATGTGTAAAAGTCAGGACTGGCCAAACCAAATGGGAACTCTGTGCAGCAAGATAACCTGTCGTGTTCCTGAAGCCGAGAGAAAGCTTACAAGATCTCCTGCTCCTAGGTTACTATCAGAGCTTCTGTTGGATCTCTTCACCCTGCATCAGCAGCTGCCTCTTCGGTCAGCCCAAATGCATCCACATTGCAGTTGTCTCCTAATGCTAAAGTGACAAACACTAAGACTCCTAGCAAGCCGAACGCAAACAAAGCAAAATCAAAATTGAAGCCGCTGAGTTTGCAAAGAAAGCCGAGTCTGGGGACAGGGAGCAGCAGCAGCAGTACCAGCAGCACCAGCAGTAAAAAAAACAGTAAAATTGCAAACACCGCATTAAATAATCTAAGGTAACTCTTCTAATAACTTTCCAGAGACCTGCTTTGAAAATGAACGAGAGCGAATAAAAGAAGCAGCAGAAGCTTCATTCCTCCACATAGATCGAGTGCATGTGGTTGGTGGCACATTGCTCACCATGAGTTGAAGCTGCTTGGTGAGGTGGGCGTGTCCTGTCTCGGTGACCCCAGCGTGTCGTGCGCTGCCTTGAAGATGCAGCCAGTGCTGGGAGCCTCCCCACTCTGGGGTTCCCTTCCTCTGAAAGGTGGCCTTTCAGAGGCTGTTTTACCATGGATGAGCTGAAGGATTAGAACCGGATGGCTTCAGGCCCAGTCCCAGCACCTGGCATGGGAGGGGGGTGAATGCTTGGCCCTGCTGCGGCTGATACCAGCCTCGCTTCAGTTTCTGTGCACTTCTCTGATTTACTAGCCCTTTGCTGTGTGAGGTTGCTGTGGCCACTGCCATCTTAGCTACTGGGACTTGCCCTTGGTGTAGCCACCCCCTGCTCTTTTCTTTTGCTGGCAGCTAAGGCACTTTTGTGGCTGAGCAAATAATCACAGCTAAGCATAGCATGTATTATTATTATTATTATTATTATTATTATTATTATTATTATTATACTATTACTATTAATTTCATTATATTTCTATGCTGCCCCGTTCTCTGAGGGTTCTCTGGGTGGGTTACAAGATACTAGACCAGCATATAAAAATATAATCAATAAAATAGATATAAACAATAAAATTAATGCAATAATATACAGGGTGATACAGAATAAAAGATAAGAAAGGATCATGCTCAAAACAAACCAAGCAGAGCCAAATAATTAAAACCAAAGCCTATTGATGAAGTAAATCCTCAACAATACACAAATTAAATTAGCCAAATATCTGTTGGAACAAGAAAAATTTTACCTGGTGCCTAAAGAAAGCAAGGTCGCACCAGCTGTATGTCCCTGAGGAACGTATTTCAGAGTCTGGGCACCACAGTAGGGAATGCCCCCTCCCAGCCTCCCCCACAATGAGATTTGGAGGAGGACTTTGGAAGATGATCTAAGTGGGCAGATAGTCATGTGTAGAGAGAAGCGTTCCTTCGGGACCCCTGTTTAGGGCTTCAGCACTTTGAATTGGGCCCAGACAGGAGCAGGGAGCCAGCGCAGCTGTTGGAGAACCAGCGTAGTGTGTTCTCAATGGTCAGTCCTCGTTAGCAGCCACGTTGTCTTGTTCTGTATGAGTCATAGTCTCTGGACCATCTGCAGAGGCAGCCTCACACAGAGCACATTGCAGTAATCCAGGGGAGAGGTTACCAGCACATGGATAACTCTGGCAGGGCTTTGGTCATCCAGGTAGAAACATAGCTGAAAGATCAGTTGAAGCTGAAGACAGGTGCTCCTGGCCACTAAGCCTACCTGAGATACCAGGGAGAGCTTGGGGTCCAGGAGAACTCCTAAGCTAGGACGCTTGTCCTTTTGGGGGAGTGAGATTCCATCCAGGGCAGGTTGGAAATTTCCCAGTTGGAATGAGAGAGCGCCCCCCAACAGAGCACCCCTCTTACCTGGATTCAGTTTAGTTTATTGGCCCTCATCTAGCCCATGACTGAACTTAGGCACTGGTCTCGGGAAGCCACTACCTCACCTGGGTCAGATGAAAAGATGTGTATGTGAGAACGAGTGGGCTGGAGTGGTTTTTAGCTATATGATGGATCTGTGCATGAAGATGCTTGTGGTGTGGAGGGATGGATGCGCTTTGGGATAGTGTCTGTCCTTCCGTCTGAAAGAGATGTGTGGTGCACTGCTTTGAATGCATCCCAAGTGATGATTTCTTCTGCCTCCTGCATTTTGTTAAATATATATATTTGGCCAGGGCTAATGCAGTGTTGTACGCAGAATCCCACAGATGTTCTGAGGCTTTTGTAGTCTTCCCACCAGCCTCTTCCCTCACCAGTAAACCTCACAGTCTGGCAGGTCCCTTGCAAAGCCACTTCTGAAAGCCAGGGGACCTTTGAGAACAGAATTTGTAAATCATTTTCTTTGGATCCTGACTAATTATTTTCTTGAAGGATGCTTTCTAGGAAGAATGGTTTAATTGATAGTTCTCCATGTCTTTCCTCTAATTCTGATTTTGGTTCACATTAGATGTCCAGATATTCAGAAGTGCATTGAGTGTTACTCAGATATAAGGACTTTTGCCAGCCACTTTCCTGCCTACGTCCGCTGCAGTTTATGCAGATACAGCACTAGCTGCAGTAAAGCCTATGTGAACCATATGATGAGGTAGGAATGTTCTGCCACGTGGTGGCTGCAATTCGCGTGTTTGCAATGCTTTGGTTTTCTATAGCTGCAGGAGGCCTTAGCGCTGAGCCCTGCGGAAGTGGCAGGCGTCGGCTTCTCTCCAGAGCAGTGCTTCTTCTTGGCTGGGAGATGCTGGGAGTTATATGCCAGCACAGCCTGGTGGGCACCAACTGGGGAAGGCAGGTCTGGCACAAGGCAGTTTTGCCTGTCAGCCGGACTTGTAGGGAAGCCGCCTGCAGAAGCACTCGCCCTGAGGAGGGGGCTCTCTCCAGATGGATTAATGGCTGAAAGCCCAGTTGAGGTTGGCTGTGATTTGAACTTGGGGTGGGGACTGGCCCTCATGGGGAGTTGAAACGGGGAGGTGGCCCGCGGCCTGACCAGAGCAGTGATGGCTGCTGCTTTGCCTCACCTCCATGGCTGTTCCTGCCTCCGTGGCTCATAAGAGCACGCTCGCATTTTCCTTAACTTAAAAAAAAAAAAAATCTGTTCCACTTTTTTTCACATGGAAACTGGAAGCAGAAGTAGAAAAACAAATCAGTATCAGAATGATGTATCAAAATTCTCTGATAAAAGCGGAAAACCCAGCTCATTAGTTTAAAAAAACCCCTGAATTGGTTCAACTTCCCTTAAAAGCTTCAAAAGAAAGACGCTCAGTCCCTGCTTGTTTAGAGTTGCAACTGAAGCTGGAGCGGAGTGGCGAGCCAGAGAAACAACCTGCAGCTCGTTCTTGGGGTTCTTCCCTGAATTTGCATGGGGGAAATGTAAGGTAGAGATTTGCATTTGGCTGCAGCGTAAACAACCCAGGAACGACAGGTCTACTGTTGTTGTGTCAAAATGTGGTATACAACCCTTCAAAGTATATGCATGAGTTACAAAGGAAGAGTAAAGCTGTGAGATTTAAGATGCATTGAAGTGGGATTATGTGTGGCAAAGGCTGATGCTCAAACTAGGTTCGAGGTAGAAGGGGCTCCTCTTTTGGGGCATTTGTTTGGCCCCTGAAGGAACGGGAGACTGGGTTAGGCAAGCCTTGGTCTGATTGAGTGTGAGCATTATTCTGTTCCAATGTACTTTGGAAGTAAAAATGTACAGGAATTACTGGTTATTGGCTATATTTTGAAATACATGTTTTTTAAAGAACACCATCCCTAGCAGGCCCCCCTTGGTATGCTGAAGGCACCTCCATGCTGGGTTAGCACCTGTGGTGATTTGTGCAATATGACGGTTCCAGGCTCCTCCCTGCAGTTTGTCCTGCCTTGAACCCAGGACAGAGGTTCTCTTTGACCTCCGTCAGTGTTGAGATTCAGTATTTCTGACTGAACCATGAATTTACCTTGAAACAAACACATTTTTCTCACTTTTTTTTAAAAAGAAAGTTGTCTTCTTCACACTTCTATCCTCTGGTACCATTTTTCTATTCTCAATCTTTTCCATGGCTCCTCCACAAAAGGAATCAGCCCCCAAAACAGCAGAAAAGAGAAGCAAAGTTCCTCAGCACCAGGGTACCCAGAAGCCCTCCAAAGGCCAACAGACCTCAACTCCAAATCAGAGCACCTCTTTGATGGCCACACGCAGAGAAAGATGCAGTGAGAGGCAGCTCACCCGCTCCAGCTGCCGTTGTACTCTCATGCTAATGCAGCAAGTGATTCCTCCACCCCCCCCCCCCGCTCAAAAGAAGTGGTCCCAGCTGAGGTAGCCGGGGTGTTTGCATCATCAGACTGTGCTCACTCCTGCTGGACCAATCCAGAGCCCCTCTTGGCCAAAGGAAGGATGAGCGCAATAACGGATCCCCCATCATTGAGGCTTCCTCTTAAACACAGCAGGCAGCCATTTGGGATTCTGGCTTCATAGCCACAGACAAGGGTGAATCCATGGTATTGCCTCCCTTACCAAAGGGACAAGGCCTGAGGAGTTGTAGCTTCCTCCCATTAAGAATATTTCCCAGACTGATTGGTCTGTACATTCTCAACTCACAGAAACTGTCTTGGATAAGTTAACTGCCCAATTCTTAGACAAAGAGGCTGCCAGGCATTTGGGTTTGTGTTTTCAAAACCTTTTAAATGTTACAGCTCATTTCACAAGGTCAGCAGCTGCCTTGGTGGCCTTTCCTGTTATTGCCTCCTCAGCAGAAATCCTCAAGGCAGCAGTCTGGACAAACCTGATACTTTTACCAGGCAGTCAAGATAGACATGTGCCTCTCTGCAAAGTGCCTTCTGTAGGAGGCTCCTCCAAGTAGTTAATTCTAAGCAGGCTTGTCCCACCCTGATTGGCAGTCAGCTGCTGCACATCCCATTTTAGGGCAACCTGGCAAGCAGGTGCTTGCTGAGGGGGTTCCTTCTAGGTCAGTGTGTGGAAGGCATCCTGGCCTCCATCCTGCTGATGTAGCTGGATGCGTTGACTTTGCCTGCTGGGATGGCCTTGCTTCTGCTCCCCTAATTCAGGTCTTTGCCTAGTTCTTCTCTAAGTACAGAGCAACCTCTGCACATCTGTCCCGCTTCTCTCCTGTGCTTTTATTTCTTCCGTTTGTTGGGAGGTGGTTTCACTGCTTTCCCCACTGGGTTGCAACCATGACTGGAGAAGCAGGGAGGAGGCCGGGGCCATGTGCTCTGGCTCTTCAGGGCCATGAGAGCAGCCAGCCCGTCGTGGGGATGCCTTCTGCACACCAGCCGAGAAAGAGCCTCTGTGCTATACGCTGTGGTTCTATCCATCTGGGGGATCCGTGTGCCCAAGGTGCAGATGAGGGCAGCTCTGCGCATGGGACAGATGCTTCTGTTGATGCCGTAAACTTGACAGACCGCGGCCTTGTTTTCTGATGTGTTTGGTGGAAAAGGTTAATTTCTTCCAGAAGCCAATTGAAGTGGTTGTGTTTTTCTTGTAGTTTTCATAGTGCTCGTCAAAGTAAAAGATTTTGGATTTATAAGGCTCATTCAGATGAACTGAGGTAACCTTCTTACTATTCTTTGTAAAAAATGTGTGTATTTGGCAGTGTGCAAGAATTCCTTCTGTGTTATTTTACTCAGAAATAAGCCCCACCATGTTCTGTGGGGTTTCTTTTCTAGCAAGCGTGTTTAAGATTGTTATTGTTAATTTACATTTAGAATGTACGCAGACCATCTAGATTTTGCCCAGATTTGTTTCTTACATATATAAGGTTTGGAAACTGAAACATTCAAGCCAAAATTCTTGACTTTTTCTGTGAAATTGATCTGTTCGCTGTGATTTTTCATTTTATATTTGTTGAATTTTGTTTAGCGCCTTGATTTGTTGTTTTGAATCCATTTTTCCTACCCCCGTTTCAGCACTTACGCATCTGTTGCAAGCGCTGCATAATATCCCTGTAGCAACAGCTGAGAAAGGAAATCCATCCCAAGGGGGCACTGATAAATTTTCTTAGCAGTCCAACAGTGCAGCCTTTCCTTCGATACTCTTGTTCTTTCTGAGGTCAGATACTCTTTTGAGAAGATTTATATAGCTTGCCCTGTAAGAAGAACCTGGAAGGAATGTGTAATAAAGTTAGTATGGCTGTGAGCGGGACACTTTTCCATAGATACTGTGCATAAGCGTACATGCAGCATTGGCAGGAGCACATGCTGTGTGCACCTGTCTGTCTTATACTCACCCTCTTTCCTTTTCTGCCTCACTCCTAGGGGTTTTACGGTGGTTTGTCTTAACTGTGACTTCCTAACTGATGTTTCTGGCTTGGATAAGATGGCTACCCACCTGATTGAAAACCACACTCATACTTGTCAAGTTATCATTGAAAATGGTATGTTCCTCTTGTGCCTTGACCATCTGACAGAGCAGTTGAGAGTTGGTATTGTCTTGTTGGTTTTTGTTGTTAATACTGAACTTCCTGCTGTTCAATTTCAGTTCCCGTGGACTATCTAGCTGCTGGTGACCCTTCTAAGTAAGTGGTTTTTAGATTTAACTATTTCATTGGTTGAATGGATTTTTCTTCTGCATTGGAAGACCTCAGATAATGTATTCTATAACATAGAAATGAGTTTATCTCTGCCTCTGATCAGAAATGCAGATCTCCTTTTAATATTAAGAGTTTTGAATCATTCATGTACAAGATCCAGGACGTATGTGGCACAAAGATACCTGGGGAGGAGTTGGATTTGCTTTTCTCAGGCAGAAGCCCCTTCCCCAACAGTCCCCTCCTGCATGGCAAACCATATTTGAAGAATGAGGAGATGTTCAGCTATTCGCAGAGCAAAACATCTTGTTAAAATCCTACTTAATGTGCCTGAAGCACACCCTTAGGGCACCTACAAATTAGAATTAAAGTGGTTTAACAGATAACGTTTTATGATGAACCCTTGTAAATGAAGAAGAAAGACAGTGACCATTGTGCAGTGAGGAATGCTGCCTTCTGGGATCAGCCATTGCTGGATCGCACAACAGTGGTCAGTGGGGAAGCCTGCGGGAAGGGCAGTAGCCCTTCTCAGCTGCCCCGCACCGGCAAATGGCCTCCCGTGCATGCTGCTTCTGGATTGGGCACTCCTGGCATGACTGATGGGTGCGAACAGGCCTGGCTTCCTCCATGAGCTTCCCACCCCCATTTAAACTACCTTAGGGGCTGGCTCTGGGCACATTTTCTGGCAATGAATTCCATACTGTGATCTTCCTTAAGTATGTTGCCAGTGTAAAACAAGCAAGCAAGCAAACCATTGTAACAACCAGGTTTGTTGGTTTTTAGCCACCTCTGTTCAGGATTGTGAACTTTTCAATAAATGCTATGACATGTGGCCCAGATAAAGATGTCCAATAGTCAGACTTTATTTCTGCGTGCATCAGACCAGTATTTACAAAAAACAAGTATTACCATACTGGTTTTTCTGGAATAGCTAGTAATATTATTCAGTCATAAAGAGCAGACTGAATGCAAGTGCAAGGCATTTCCTGCCTGCCGGGTCTCCAGACCAGCTGCTGGCATAGAGAAAAGGCTGGGCTTCCTCCTTGGTATTCCTTGTGCTGTACAAAGAACTTAAGAGTCATGCAACAGTCTCATAACTGGGGGCAAGTGGACTGATTTTGAAAGCTTCCTTCCTTCCTGTTTCCTCCTTTAAGGTAACTTTTTTTAGGCATATGATAGTTCAGTTTTCTTCTGGTTTTTGTTTTTATTTTGGCTTTTCCCTAGTTAATGGAAATGAATATTGAACTGCTTTGAAGTGCTTCACAATGCAGATATGTTTTCACATGAAAATATTGGCAGTAAATAATAACATAAACAGAAATTTCATCTTGATACTGCAAAGGCCTTGAAAGTCATCAGTCAATAAGTCTTTGCAAGGAGTTAGATAGGTGTTTAAAGCCAATCTTAGGGAGAATTTTCTGTGAACAGTTGCTTATGTATTACAAACCTATGTCCTTTTAAACTGGCAGAAATGGGATGAGTTATGACAGCCTTTGCCTTCATAAATTGAATGCATGCAGTTTCTTCTTATCCTAAGTATGTAGCAGAAGCCGTATAAAAACCATGAATCTTCTATATTTGTGATTAATAACATTATTACCTAGGTGCAATAGATGCAGTTCCATACTTTGGCAGATTAAAATTCACTTTAATGCCACATCAACAAAGAGGAAACAGTCATCAGCAATTTCTTTGAGCATCAAGCCTTTGAAAAATTAACTAGTGTACTAAAACTGATGAGTTTACAAGGTTTTATCCTCACAATCTCTGCAGCAGAATTGTACTTGCATAAACACAGAAAATCAATCAGGGTGATGTGATAAGCTGTTTCTTTAATGTGGTTTAAAAGTCAATACATTTAAATAATGTATAGGTATATAGCATGGGCTGGGTTCTGGAGAAATATTGCAAAAAATCCACCCTTTAAGGGATGGATCTAGGTCTGTATTGTTCTAGCAGAAAATGCTGCAGGAAAGCTTTTTGATCTGCGCAATGCTACATTGCAAGAAGAAGCAAAATTGTAGAACTGAATAAAACTTCATTTATTAAATGAATCGGTACAATGTATATTATGCCCTGTTACTGCCATACATATACTCGTGGTGGCCCACAAGATATTAAAATTACAAAGAAATAAAAATCAAGCAGTCAGAAATGGCTGAAGCATGAAGCGCAGATGAATGTCCATTCAGAGCTTTCCAGCAGGTGTACCAGAAGCCAGCTGGCTGGACAAGCAGCTGGAGATCCATCCTGGCAGAAGTTGAGGGCCCCGCTCCTTCTGCCTGAAGTTCTTACTTCATTACAAATGGTGGAAAGTAGTGGGGATTTTCAGAATGGTTTCGACACCATTCAACATAGATTGCGTATCAGTATTCATTTCACATTGGCTTTCATGTTGATCATACAGTACTTGAAGACATTTAATATTCTTTTGTTCTTCAGCTTAGCAAATCGTGCATCATTGGACAACACGACTGAAGAAAAAGACCAGGTATAGTCTCTGTTTGGTTTAATTTTTATATAGGCATTCACATTTAATATATTTATAATTGTAGTCATCAACATCTTAATAGCCTCTGGTTGTAAAGCTTAAGCATTCAAAATAGCTTTTGCATTATGATTTTCAAATTGCTGGTTTCAAGACTAAAACCCAACACCAGATACATCTAGACAACTAGAGAACTATTTGGAGTCCGAGCTCCAACCTCTGAAAGTCACTGCAAGGTTGAAGCCGAGACTCTTGAGTGCAGAGTAGCATCCCCCATACTGCAGCCACTGGGGAAAGAAATGCCCTGAGAATGCAAACAGGATTAGGAGAAGGGGCTGCACGGGCCCTCCAGGGGAGACCGGTGCTGCCATGAATCCAGGCGTCCTAGCAGTGCCTCAACTGCTGCCTCATGTGCCCTGTGCTGTGGCACTTGCACACCCAAAACTGGCCCTCTTGGTTTTTGTCCGGGCAGGAGGAGCACGAAAGCGACCTTCACCACACTCCTCTCGCCCCGCACCTGGTCTCTGTTACATCCTGTAAGTGTTAGTAAACCACACATCATCTTGTGTGTGCCATGGTGATACATTTGTGCCTTTTATTGTGAACGAAGGGAATCCATTTCCCAGATCTGTCTGGTGCGTTCTGTGAGAATGGGGAGCAGATGCTGCTCCAGCATCACCTTGAGTTCCTTCACCTTTTGTGGGGTCAGATGTCCTGCATGGCTGCCTTGAATCGGAGCTGCCAGTGCTTCTCCAGAGCGCTTTCTTTGTGTCTTGCATTCATGGAAGACGTCTCTGTGTTGGGAAAGCGAGTGGCACAGCCCACCATAGAATCACACGCGCTTCTCCCTAGTGTGAAAACGGGAGGGCTGTGCAAAACTTAACAAAGCTGTTTCTGTTTCAGAACCCTTCCAGGCCCAGTAGTCCTTCGAAGCAAAATGCTGAATCTCCTTCCCTAAGGTAAACTGTTCCTTTACATTCCCTTTTGGAACAGTGGGTTGTACGGGGCCCTGTAGACAAGCACACTGATCTCCAGATTGAGTTCCACCAGTGGGGCCTGTGATGTGGTTTGCTGTGACCCCCTCCCTGATAGACCCTGTGCCTGCTGAGCGTGCCTAGTTCCCATTTGGCTGCTTTAGGCTCTTCCCCATGTAGTTTCCCCCAAAGATGGTTTCTAGCTTTGTAAAGTGGCTTTAATTACCCTCCCGATGGTTCCCTGACACACTGATGGTGGTGTTCTGGCCATGTAAAGATCAGAGGCCAAAGAATGAGCTTGCTCTCATTTTGTAGAACTGATTCGAGCTGCTGTCTCAGTCACTGTTCGTGTTGTAGGAGTTGGAGTCTGAGCATGTTCTTGAGGTGGCATGTGAACAGGTCTTAATAACTGTGGATAACAATGGACCGACACAAATTCAAGGACCTTCATTTTCATTGCCTGGAATATTTTGAATGTTTCAGAAATGGAAATGCTGAGGTTTTCTGAGTTGTTTAGAAGCTGGCCAGGATGTTTTGCTAGAGCAGAGTAATAACATGTTGGCTTTGCTTTTTTAAGCCCACAAGTAAAAGACTCTACAAAAGAAACAGGAAGGAACAATGTTGGAAATCAGAGTGATGATACAGCCTTAACTTCTGAGAGAGAAGAAAACAAATTGCCCATTTTACAGAACAGTTTTGGTCCGGAGCTCTGGGCATGCGTAGATAACCCTGTAGAATCCACAGAAACTGAAAAGGCAGAGGAGCATGGAAACCAGCACGAGGAAGGCCCTTTAGTTATTGCAGGTGAAGAAAAGAAGCCTATTTGTGATCTAGAACTTCGAGCCTCCTCAGAAAGCTCTGCTGAAGAAGGAAATGTAGACAGCCTTGGAAATCAAACTGATCAAGATTTTTTATCTGCTGAGTGTGAAGGAAATGCATGTGTATCCACTGTTGAAGATTCATCAATTTCAGAAGGCCATACTTTTTTAGAAGACTCTGCAGGAGAAAACAAAGATGACCTTGAGAATCAAGATAAGGAAGGCCCTTTAACTGCTGTGTGTGAAGGGAGCATGCCAGGAGTAGACAAGCCAGCCTGTGTAGAACTCTCAGCCTGTTCAAATGACCCTACAAAATGGGGAGATACAGACTGCCATACAGGTCAGGGTGATGCATGCCCCACAGCTGCCGAGTGTGAAGGCAACATACTGTTTTCTGGGCCAGAAGATCCCGCTGTAGAGGGCTCGGCTTGCTCAAATGACTCCACAGAACCTGCAGAAGAAGCAGAGGGGGTCAAGCGTGAAAATGAGGAGAATAAGGCTGCTTCATCTGCCAAGCATGAAGCAAGTGTTTCTGTGCCAGCTGGAGGAGAGCCCTCCATTTCAGAACTTGGTGACCATTCAAAAGATTCTCCAGAAGAAATGAGGAACAATCATGGAAATCAGTCTGATGAGGGTGAAGGAAATACCTCTGCAACAACTGTGAAAAACTCCAAGCCAGAGCTCCAAGGTGGTACAGTGGTGGCCTCATGTGGAAGGACAGAATCTGATGATCAGGTAGAGGAAAAATCCTCAAAGTCTGTTCGTAAAGAAACCAACTCTTTGCCAAGCTCAGAAGATGCTGTCTCTGATACCCAGACAAAAGAGGCTGATTTGGATGAGGCTCAACTTTCAGATGTTGATCCTGATGACTCACAATCCGCATCCAATGAAGGAGTGAGCTTTGAACAGTTTTTGAGAGGAAGAGGTGAACCTGATGCTGCCAGTTCTGATGCAAGTGAGCAAAGCAGCATTCATCTGGAGCCTCTGACACCATCGGAGGTCCTCGAGCACGAAGCAACAGAGATTCTTCAGAAAGGGGGACCGGCGTCACCACCCAGTCAGGATGGATCAGCTTCTGAGCAAGTGACTGCCATTTCTAGAGAGGGCAGCCCCACTCAGGAGGAGGAGGAGGAGGAGGAGGAGGAGGAGGAGGAGGAGGCAAGCCTGGCAGAAGAGAACGATGAAGCAAGCTGAGATGGGAGAGTCGGAGAAAGGCAACACGCTGAACAGGTGACTGTTGTACCCTCATGGATGTGGGTTGTGAGGAAGGGACAGAGCTGTGCATTTTATAATACTGTTGAAGCCTGTTAATTACAAATCCAGCGGGTGGTGACGAAGAAAAACCAGCAGTTGCCTGCCATAGTAGAACTTGCGAGGCCAAGAGGAAAGAAAATGTTTGTTTGACCACAGCGTTTGTCGTGCTTGGGTGGTCGTGCTCTGCAAAGAGCATTTGAGCCGCTCAGTCTAGACAAACGTGAACGGTGGGCTGCACATTGCACCCCTGTCCCATCAGACGGTGGGGAGGACTGTCTGACATCAACACTACTGGATTGGTCTGATCTTACTAGATAATAAGCTCACCTTAAACTTTCAGTGAAAGTGGAATATTATAAGCAAGCAAATATATTTGTGGGTTTCCCAATATGCAAGCTTTGCAGAAATCTGTCACGCTATTTCTTTGAAAGACGGAGCATCGTGGCCTGTGTCTTTGAGGTTATTACTGTTTTTTATTATTTTTATTGATGGCAGGCCATGGAAGTCCAAAGTGGACTGGAGGAAATGCTGAACTGGACTAGAAAGGTGTAAACAGTTAACCAAAACAAACAAAAAAGACTAAGAAACATTTAAATCAGGTATTGAAATGTTTTTAGTCTAAATTTATGTGAAACTGAAGCTAAATGATGGGGAGGGGGGTTGGCATGAAAATCGTTTTGATACATAGTTAGCTGAAGGAATGCATAACATGATTTAACTGTAGCTTGCTTTTTAGTATTAACAAGCTTAATTAAAACGCTCTATCTGAATCTTTTAGAAAGTGATTTTGGACTTGTCAAGGTTTGTTTTTAAATGAACTTAAATGTTTTGAACTTCCGTTAAGATACTGATGTACATATTTTGGAGTAAATATTTGCAAGAAAATTATTGTTTTGCTGTTGATATGTGTATTTATGGAAAACTTAACTGGTTTATGTTTGGCTCAAATCTCCAAAAGAATTTTTATTAACTCTAGGCTGTGATTAAACTTTTTATTTTCCCCTCAGAAAGTTGGAAAATATACCATATTTAAATGGAGCAAGGCATTTTATCCTTAGTCATAACTGTAGTGATACGTGAATGCAGTTTTTTGCTTCATGTCAAGATAGATCTTTGGGACCAGGGCAGTCCTGCTCCCATCGTTCTATTTTTGCTACAAGAGGAAGCTTACAAGTTAACGAGACTGAGGTGGTGAAGTGAAGGTTGTTCAGTTTTGAGCTCTTGGGTCAGATGGGGGTTGCATTACTTTGGAGATGCATGCAAAAAGCAGTTCCTGGAAATTCTGTACTGCCCCTTCCTTGCAGTTTCGGCTACAAAGTGGAATAGACGTGAAATTGATGGTGGTGATGATGATGTAGAGAGCAAGGATATTTGGGGGAAAGGGGGACTAGAGCCCTCTCCCTGATGGATTAATGTACTGCTTGAAGGAGTATTGAAAGAATAGTGCATACGTGTGGCGACTCCTCCACCTGCAGTCCAAGATTTCTGCACAATGAGTTGAAGTGGCATTCATAACAGCGAAGGGTTCTTTCAGCCTCTGAAGAACTAGATGGCGTCTTCTTGGTCCCTGACTTCTGTCCATAATCCTAGCATGCCTCTGCATCATGGCTGCACAGCTAGGGTACACACCTTGCTTACTTCCCTGGAAAGGGCGGGCTTCTATCCAGGGAAGATAGAATTTGCTGAAACCCAGCAGGAGCCCGAGCGTGCGTGCTGGGGGAGTGATGGCATTCCTCCTGAGAGCAGCAAAGCCTCTGCTTACTCCACAAGATCATTTTCCTCAGCATGCGACAAGTTTGTGCTCTTTGCAGCTCCACCATCTCTATGTGAGAGAAGATTATGCAGAGGTAGATTGATTGAGAAACGAGGTGAGGCAGCTGACTGGTATAATGGTGCTTTGGGCATTGTTAAGAATGACAGAGTGGAAGACTGACAAATACAATCCCTGAGGCACAATCTCCTGAGAAGTTCTTTTGCCCAAATCCCATGGAAGTAGATAGGTTTGTTTCTGTGGAACTTGGGTAGGAAAACTTCCCAGTGGATTGGGTCCCGTGTCGATTAGCGTTGCCTCGGTGTACTCTGCCATGACTGCAGGGCCACCTCCTCTCCCATGTGGAAAGACCACGGAGAATTCAGACTTAACAAAATGAGATTGCAGACCTCAGAAATGGAATTGCTGCTGGCGAGCCAAAGCCAGGCCATGCTTCCAAATGTTTGCGCTCCATGTCACTGGCCGAGGGTGCATTTCCCTTTGTTTTGCACCGCGGAATCACTTTCCAGGCTTGAGACGGAATTCAGCCAGGCTCCCTGAGGTCCAGCTAATTCCATAATGAGCTCAGACAGTTCAGGGTGGGTTGGTGCGACCATGCCTGGAACTGTCGCATCTCCAGAGGAAGGGTGCTGTTTTTAGTTTGGTTTTGCTTTTTTGTAGAATTGAAAAGGGGAGTCAGTATAAATGAGATACCTTCACTTTGGATGAAGCCTCATGTGAAACTGATAATAAATGAGTTCAGCCAAGGGCTGTGTAAAAGACATTTCTGGTCTCCTGGAAATTAAATCCAAGAGCCTTATTGACAGTGAAGCATGATTGGTTTATTAACAACTCAGCAGAAAACTGCATCTGAAGTGCTGCTTTTATCTGATGCAATTTTTCTCAGTCTGAATTGTGTGTATGCGCTAGATGTTTCAGAACATCTGGACATGGTGATTTGTTTTTTCCTTGCCTGCACCTGCAAGCCCAAGTACACACACAACAAAAAAGGAAATTAAATCTTTTGCAGAGTGAGCGAGAGAGAGAGAGAACTCCATCTAGCCACAAAGCTCAAGGGAGCATTATGACAAGAGCAGAGCTGTAAAAACACGTTGGAGATACTTAATTCTTCCGACAAGCGCCAGTGGTGGCACCTCACGCAGACTCAGCACATGCCCACATTTTGGCAGAGGAATAACAGGAGTCTTAATGCAAATCTGAAAAGGCTCAGAGCACATCCGCCTCGTTTTTATCTAAAAATATCCTCATGATTGGGAAGAACTTGTGTCATTATCTTGATTTCTGGAACGAGAATTAGATGTCTTCCCTTGAAAACTCAGTGGTTATAGGCAGCATTTCTATGCCTGTAAAATTTAAAACCTGCTTACTAGCCCATGGCTGGCTATCCAAGTAGTTTTCAATATAAGATAATTCAAATATAAAGAGAAGAAAATGAACTGACTGGCTCTAGACTGCAGATCTTCCCTCCAGATTATCCCTCTGGGATGGCACTTAATGCCTTGCTCCACAAGTGCCTCAATCTGGTTAATTCAAACAGCCACATCTGGTGTCGGTTACTCCCATGAACTTCTGTTGCAAAGTGCAAGGAACTAGAGTGAGATTCCAAATGGGGAATTTCGCTGCTGCCCAGCACCGTTCCCTCTCCTTGAGATGGGCTGGAGGTTATTCAGGGCAGGAAGCCCTGCTCCAGAAGGCTGGTCCTGCTGGGGCACCTGCCTGTGGCCCATGATAAGAGCAGCAGCAGGCAATGCTGGGCAAAGGCATTTTGTCATCCGTGTTCTGTCCAAAAGAATTAGCTCCCCCCCCCCCCGCCATTTTTCTGGTCTGCTTCCCCATCCCCACTTGAGGCAAGGCTACAGTCTGCTCCCAGGATCCCTTTTGGTTGAGAGTCTAACTGTGCTGACAGTATTGCAAGAGTTACGAAGTCCTTGGAGGGGAGAGACACTTTCTTAAAAGCAGTGTAGTGGGCTAGGAATCCTGAGACATCTTGTGGTGACACTTGCCAGAATGATGACGATACATAGGATGAAGGTACGTGATCCTAGTGAAGCTTCTTCTTGGGTAAACGTGCATAGAAATGGATTGTCGGCACTCAGTTCCACAATTGAAAAATCCATATTAAATGCACTGTACATGGTACTACTTGCTCAGGTAGAAATGGAGAGTTTTGTTTTATGAAACACCTTAACATGACTTACTCATGTATTAGATTTATATCGCACCTTTTTTCTTACAAAGAGTCAAAGCATCTTACTTCATTCGCCGCCTCTTGCTCTCAGCCTTTATCCTCACAACAACAACCTGCCAGGTAGGTTGGACTGAGAGTCACCCTGTGGGCTCCATGACAGAGCAGAAGGTATGTAACTATTGGCATCAACATAGTAGACAGGATGCAGTTTACATGTTGTGCTTTTTCCTGACTGTGCGGTTTGCTTCCAAGGCATTTCAAGAAGCACTGGGCAACTTCATTATGTTCTCACTACTTTCAAGTGATAAAACCAAGCAGCAAATTCTGCCATAGCTAACAGGTTCCAGAGTGTGGAATTCTGGATTCAGCAAAGCTGCTCAGAACAATTTACCAAATTACTAATTATTATCCCTAACATAAGCAGATTTTGTATGTGTGCACAAACAGCATTGCCATTAGTGATTGATTTTGTTAATTTATATAGCAGCCCATTAACTTATATTCCCTGGATGGCTCTTTAAGATGATGTAAGCATCTAAAAGTATTTCATTCAGTGCCTTTTCTGCCTCTTCTTTTTTAATCTGTGTTAGGAATGCTGCTAGAGATTTGCATTTGCTTCCCTGCACTTAAGCATAAGCCCCTAAGCCTAAGCTTCTCTGTACTTGGTGTTAAATGTTGTGTATGAATGAATGTTTGGGAATCAGAAGTTTGCATCCCAGAAGGCAGGAGAAGTGCTGCATTCCTTTGCCTTGTCCAGGTTCCTGTTAGCTGTCATTGGCTCTTTGGCTTAACGGTACAACCATTGCAGGATTATTTGCTGCTGATGCTCTGCCTTTTCTCCTGCAAGGAATCCAAAGTGGAGATCGGTTTGAGCCACTTGTTTGTCTCAGGATGCTCTTCCTCAAAGGGCTGTCTCACCCCGGCAAGGGGGTGGCACTGTTCTGTAGGCAGAAGATCAATCGCATGCAGCTCCTCCGTGCCTGAAGGAACACCAGTGCTTAGCTGGTGTAAGATCCCCCACCCTGAAGCTTTGCTTCTTGTTCCCTCCCGAGGGCTACAAAAAAAACCCTGAAGCGCTCCCAAAGGGCAACACACTTCTCATGTTGAGTTCTGCTGCCACCTGCTGCCAAAAATGTAACTTGGCACCTCTTTGTGCCCGCCCTGCAGTAATCCCCATTGACCGGGCATGGTTGAAAGATGCTGCTGCTGTGGAGACTGAGCCTTTAACCGTCCATGGAAGGCTGAAGTGAAATAGGCACAGCTACTGCCAATACTGCTCTTCCTCCTAGAAATGCTGTACCTGCTGCATTTAACAGCTGAACCACAAATGCTCCAGGGAGGGACCAGTAATTCAAGTCTTCCAGTAGGAAAGGGGCATATGTGCCCCCCCCCCCAGATGCTGGGCTGCAGCTCCCCTTGGCCCCAGGCGGCATGGCCCGTGGTCAGGCATGGTGAGAGTCATAGTCCAGCACTTGGAGAACTACAGCTACCCCACTCTTGCCTTGCAAGGGAGCTATGCAGCTGTTCCGATTCCTCCAGGGGAGATGAGTGAAAGTGCTGGTTTAAAATATGCCTATCCTGCCTTCTAAAAGTCAAAGATGGCTCACAGTTTCATCTGTCTGGGACTGCTTGGCTTAGAAATGGTTAGGGGAAACACGATAGAGGTGTGCAGCATTAGAAAGTGTATCTTTGGATTCGGGTATTGTCCGTCATTTTTAGCTGTTTACATTTTTGTTGAAGTTTTCTGTTACGGTTTCTATATTTTAATGTTGTCATTTCGTAAACTTCCTGGAGAGGTTTGGCTATCACATACTGTTCAGACGGATGAAAATTGCACATTACAGGGTTAGAGTTAGGACCAGGTAGGAGGAACACAGACGTTTCTGGTTGGCGGCCCCTTGCCTCAGAGCAGCAACAAAGGAGGTGGGTGTGTTGCAGCCTAGAGCCACGCAGTGCGCGCCTGGTCCTCACTGCAGTGAGCTGAGCTCCCAAGTCACCCCTGGCTCCGGCACCCTCTTCATCTTCCTGTTTGTTCCAAGTTTCATTAACGTCAATCTTCTCCAGACAGTCTGTCATTCACGCTTGCCCTGCCTGGCCACGTCCTCTCTCCAGAGAGCCGCCTTCATTCTGATAAATGGGCTGCCGGCGGAGTGCATGATGAAGAGCGGTCATTGGAAGAGGGCCCTGTGCTACATTTCCAAGGAGTGTAATAAGGCAATTAAAACTCATTTGGAACAAGGCAGCTCTCTTCCAACAAGCAAAAGCAGATTCTTTTTAATTTTGAAATGCAAATGAGTGGCAAGGCCAGAGTGTTTCATTGTAAGCCCAAAATATGCATGCTAGGTTAGGGGCTGCATCTATCACGAAGCACAAGTGCAAAGTGAAGGAGTATTAAATGGAAAGTTAACAGAAACATTATTGGATGGATAATGAGACAGCCCACTTGGTTACTTTACATCATGGGTCCTCAAGCTAAGGCCCGGGGCTGGATCTGGCCTGCCATGCCCATTTATCTGGCCTGCCTCAGAGGTTTTGGCCTCGCCATGCGCTTGCATGCGCAGGCAGGCGCATGGCGAGTTGGCAGCTTGCTTGCATGGAGATCGCTTTGGACTCACTTTGAGAAAACGATCTCTGCGCGGGCAAGCTGCTGCCTCCCCCTGCGTGCCACCCGCCCCCGCTTCGCGAGCACTGCACCTCCCCACCAGCACCGCCACCGCCGGCACCTTTCAACTGACCCCCTGTTGAAAAAGTTTGAGGACCCCTGCTTTACCATCATTCCTCTTCCCAGGAGGCTGATCAAACTAAGCCGCCTGGCCAAAGGAATCTCCTGCCATCATCTTTAAGGCCATAGCTAATGATGAGCTTCAACCACAGCGTCTGAACTCCAAGGCACACCCATGGCCTCCTCGAAGCACTGCAGCCCCCTTGCCCAAGACCCTTCCTGAAAATGTCATACAAGAAGACATTTCAGATCAAGTGTTTACACGCATCTGTCCCATGCAAAAGTAATGTTAAGAGCTACGCATTTAAACCTCTCTGGGATGAGGTTTGCACCAACCTTTCCCTGGACTGTTACTTGCATTGGTTCATTCCTGTATATTTGAGTGAAATTAAGATTAAGAAAACCCTGCACTGTTTCCATTGGTTTGTTCTTGCTTATTAAAGTCTGGCAGAGATGATCCGTGTTGTGATAGAAAAGGAAGCCTTAGTGCACCCGAAGGCTAAGGACTCCCCTGCCTGTTGGCACGGCCAGTGTACGTGCCAGTCATTTTTCTTCTGGCTCCCCCTTCCCAATCAGCGGCCATCTGTTTCGCACACCTATCGATGCTCGTTTTTCAGATTTATATTACATAGATGCCTGCTTATCTTCGTAAGCTGCCTGCGGGAAAATTTTGCATCTTCCGTGAATTATTCAAACAGCACCCCTCGCTCTAGGCTTCCCCCACTCTCTGCACGAGTCTCATTTGCTCTGGACAAATCTTGCCCCGGGATGCGGGCAGAGGCGGCGGGGACGCCGCGCATCCATCCCGCGCGTGCCTCTCCGCCCGACGTCGCTCCAGGCGATGCCAGCAGGCGGCGCCGACAAGCGGCGGGGGGGGGGGGGGGGAAAAGGGGCGCGGGCGCAGCAGGGTCCCCCCGCCAGTCCCACGACTGCCCCGCCTCTAGACCTGGGACCTCGAGGGGGTGGAGCCAAGCCCCCAACTGGACCAATCGCGGCGTGAGGAAGAGACGAGACCCACGACTTCCGGCGGAAGTATAGCTCGCGGCTCTGGTTGCCCGGCAACTGAGCTTGAGCGGGAATCAGGCGGCGACAGCAACAGCAGCAATTGCAATGGTGAGTCGCGGCAGACCGACGAGCCCCGGAGGTGCGGCGCCCTCGCCTCTGCGGGTGGCTTGCCTTGCAGGGAGGTGCTGGGGGCCGGCGGCGGAGGCGGCCCGCAGTGCAGACACGGTGCGGCGTGCCGAGCACCTGCTTCGTTTACGCTGCCGTTCTGTGCGCGTTCCTCGGCAGGAGCCCCTCGGGGCTCGGCAGGGCTGACCTCCGAGGAAACGTGTGCCGGACGGCGCTCTTGGGAGCTGGGCTGCCGCGCCCCGGCCTGTTGCTCGCTCCCCGGCTGAGTGTACCTCACAGAGTTGTTGTAACGATAAAGTGGAGATGCGGGACATGTATCCTGCCCTGGCCCCCTTGAAGGGAAAGGTGAGAGAGAAGTGGATCCGGAAAAAAAAAATCCCTCCCTTCATAAGAAAGCAAAGCAAATGGCCTTTAAAAACAACGGTAATTTGCAAAAGGTGTTTTCACAAAAGCCACCTTGGCTCTGGATCAGGGAGGTGAAGCACAAGAGGCCATCAGTGGCTACTAGCCTTGCTGTTTATGTGCTGCCTCCTTCACCGGAGGTGACAAGCCTCCATACACCAGTTTTGAGGGTTGGGCAGGAAAAGGTCTTGCACCCATCCTACTTGAGGGCTTTCGTGTGCAGCTAGCTTGCCACTGTGAGCTGAGCACCAGACTAAATGGATCGCTGGTCTGATCCAGAATGGCTTCTATTGGGTTCTTATGTGAGGCTGCAGGTGCTCCCATCTTTGTCAGTGACTGGAGCTCACCCACCCTCTGCAGACTGAACCAAGACCAAGAGGGGCCTTTGCACTTAAGGAAGCAGGTCTGCTCTTCAGACATTCCCTTGGGAGGTGCCCTCTAGGAGGCTCCCTGCTCCTTCAGAAGTGGGGATGGGAGAGGAGGGAGCTGGCCCCTGCTGGAAAGCCACTGGAGAAGGAGAAAGTGACTAGAGTGTGTTTCCCAAGGCTACGGTCTGGGTATGGAAAGGCAGCCGTGTGTCCCCAGCTACATCACCCTGTCTCTAGAATGGCTCTCTGGGCCAACCTGGCTTTTGTGCCAAAGAGGTTGCCTTGTCCTGGGTTGGTCGGTTCTCAGGGTTCTTCAGCATTTTCATCCTACTGAGATTCTAAAAGTGAGCCTCCACTTTCTCCACCCAAGCTGTGGCTACTCTGGCTAAACAGGGAAAAGACCAATAGTGGTCTGGTTTTGGCTGTGCCCATAGGAATTCACCTATGCACCACCATTGGACACCTTGGCCTGTTAGCTAGGTTTGGTTTGCATTGACTGGCAGTGACTCACCAGTCTCCAGCAAAGAGGGCTCTGTGCATCACTCTCCAACTAAGATCCTCCTCATTGGAGATGCTTGCAGGACTTGGACCTGCTGTGAGAGTGAGTTCCTGCAGATTTGATACTGCACCTGTATTTCCTTTCAGGCAATGGCACGGAAAAGCGGTCGGCCACAGCTGACCGCAGCACAGCAGCTGGAGCGGAAGCATCATGAGGCCTACTTCCAGCAAATGAGAGAGCTGGAGCATGAGAAAAGGGTGCAGCGTGTCCAGCAGCTCAAGGTGATGTGGGAGGCCGAAGATCGTGCTGAGCAGAAGCGTGTCACACAGATGCTGAAGGAGGAGGAGCATGAGCAGCGTATCGAAGAAGCCATCCAGAGGGTGAGCCAGCTGCAGCCAGAAGCAGGGAGCTCCTATGTGCAGTGCGCCACAGGGCTGAGAGCAGTGCTTCCCGTGGCTCTTTAGAGAGCAGTCTTACGGCACGATTGCGAAGCAGGTGGCCCACCTTAATTTATGTCAAATGCTGGGCACTGTCCAAGTCTCACATAGCAGGAAGGGGACCCTGGCTGCTCAACAGACTGGAAAAGGATGCAGGCCACAAAAGCATATGCAGACGTGACAGGAGGTGTGTTGCTAAACTGAGGCTTAACTGTGGCAACTGCAGGAAGTGTGGAACGATTCTAGTAATATTGCAGCCATGGAACAACCCACTTAGGAGGGCTGTGGGATCTGATCCGTCAGAGGCTTTCAAGGCCTGACCAGGGCCCTGTGTTCATGTTGGTGCAGCTGCTTGTTGAACCAAAGGAAGGTTTTCCCTGTAGTAAGATTTCCTAATTCTGTCTAGCAAATCAGTCAATACAATTACAAGCAACATGAGCAACACTTCTTATTTGTAGAAGAGGTGTTTAATGAAAAACTCTAGGGTTGACTGTATGCTAGGAAATTTTGAAGCCATACTGAATTTGCATTGATAGTTTAGCTATTCAATTCTCTTTAAAAGCTGTTACCTTTTCAGATATTAGGCTGTTTCTCAATCAGAATAAACAAAAATGTATTTTTACTCAAACTTTCTCAAAGATTAATGCTGGTGGAGAAATTTATACCTTTTATTAATTCCAGTGTGAGCATTAATACATTGTTATTTTTCACTTTGCACAACATAATTTCATAGCTGAAGCAAATAGTAGATTTTTAATTTAAACAAATTATTTTCATTCTGTGGAAGATTTTGCAATTATTTCAGGGCACTTTAGCTGTGTTCAACTAAAATGCTGACCTGTACTCAACAGTTGTGGGTTGTTGTTGAGGTATTGTATTGTCTTAATCCAGCTGTGCTAATAAATCATGGTTTGTCTATAAACAACCACAGTTCACAACTGATATTCTCTTTATGGGTTAATTGTGGTTAACCAGCTGTAGTCTGATAGCACTGCTAGGTTCAAACAACACAGTAACCCTTATGTTGTCTGAACCCAGCCAGTACTAAATTCCTCAGATGCACACCTTGAACCATCAGACAATTGCAGAATACCTAGTGTCTCAAAGTTTCTTGTTAAGATTGTTAATTTCTAATCTTTTGCTTAAATTAAAAAATACAGTTTGTGAAATTTTGTGTACTGATCAGGCAGAGGAGAATAAAAGGCTGAGAGAACTGGAGCTGGAACAGGAAGAAAAACTGGCAGCTGAGTTAGCAAGATTAAACCATGACAAAGTTAAAGATGAAAAGATGAGGCAGCAAATAAAAGAGAACAGGTATTTCTTTTCTTAACCACGAGAAAATCACTTTATAGCTGTATTTATTCCATAACTTACAATTATGTTTTTTAAAACTGCTTTCTGATGCTGTTTGGTGTCCATTGAGTGTTGTTGTGATGGGGTAGGTGGAGATAACTAGGAGGGGGTTTCACTTCCTACAGACTGGCGAGCACTTTAGTCTTCTAGAACAGCATGATCTTAGCACTGGAAAAACCTTTTCTTTTAATTGGTACCGCTTCTGATTTGTATTAAAAATAGGATTAAGTGCAGTGAGGGAGGACAAAGTGAGGGGGCAGTCTTGGGCAGAATTACTTTCCTCTCTCAGACTAACCTCTGGCAGAGCCAGCTGGGGTCACTTGAGGGGAAACTGCAGAGATGCATCTGAAGGAGTACATTCTGAGGTGCCCACAACTGAGTTGAGACATCAAGTCACTTTCCTTGAGTGAACCCTGCAATATTAACACTACTGTTAGTGGGGTGGGTGTCAGCCTGCTGTTAAGTACACTCACTTTTTTATTTTTCCACGGGATTCTGGTACTGGATTCTGAGTTGAGATGCTGAAACGCTGGAGTGCTGCTTGCTATTTTCCATGTTCACTGCAGTTCCTTGGTTTCATTCCACTGGCCATTTGTGCTGCAGCTTTTTGATTGCCTCCCTTTCACAGCCCCCACCCATGTGGGATATAAGTTTCATACTTTTTGTCCATTTGGTTTCCAGTATTGAACTCCGGGAGCTGGAGAGGAAGCTGAAATCTGCTTATATGAACAAAGAGAGAGCTGCCCAGATCGCTGAGAAAGAAGCTCTAAAATATGAAAAAATGGTAACTAATTTTGTGGGTCCTAAACATTCTGCTCCATATTTGTCAGCTAATGAACATGTAACAGTAAATTCTTTGCTTTCATGTGGTAAAGATACAGATTTGTTTTGAATGCAGATATGTTTGCAAAAATATTTTTAGCTGCACCTGAAATGGATAAAATAATTTTGTTGCATTCTGCATTTGGTTTCTTCCTAGCAAGCTAATAAATTGGCTTATGGTGCAAACTGAAACAGGTTTACTCAGAATCGAGCCCTACTGAGATGCTAGTCAGTGTGTTGAGGATCACAGCTTTAGAAATCATAATGATAGTGTTTGGTTCTAAAGATTGCTGAAATACTCCTAGAATTAAATTCAAGCAGTTTATTAAAAAGTGAAATAAACAGCTTGTAGGATTTGTTTTCCATACAAAGATATTTTTAAAAAATAATTTAAAAAGGCATTTTTATCCTCCTCCTCCTCAGCCAAAAAAGCTCAGGGGCAGCCACATATAATCAATATTACAGTCACTACCCACAAGCTTACCATCTAAAAAGACACAAAAGGAAAAAGGTACGGGGAGGGAAGAGGGAAAAAAGCAAGTGTTCTTTCAGCTGTGCTAGTGGAATGAGCTCACTTTCCATCTCGCCTTCCTCTGCAGTAGGCTGCTGGAATGTTGTCTGATGGTGGCAGCCCAAAGGTGATGATAAGTTTATTAATTATGCAGTGTTACATGGTAAAGGGTATAAGGTCTCTTTTATATGTGAGGCAGTGTGGTATAGTGGTTAAGAGCACAGGACTTGCCCTCAGGTGATCTGGGTTCTAGTCCCACTCGACCATGGAGCCAGCTGGGAGACTTTGGGCCAGTCACAGGCTTTCAGCCCAACCCACCTCACAAGGTTGTTGTGGGAATAAGAGAGCAGGAAGTGAATGATGTAAGATGCTTTGAGTTTGTTAGAAGAAAAAAGAAGACATAAATCTAATAAATGAATAGTAAAAAGCCATTAAAACCTTTCCAGCAGCATATTTCTGTGGTTAATCTTATTTATGTCAAAGATTAAAGAATTAAATGCTGCTGTTTAGAAAATGCTGCGAATTTGATGTTTGGACTTCTGGTTATGTTGTTTGAAGAGATCCATAATAAAGTAGATTTTGGTAACATCAGTTCTTATACTTTACTTTCATGAGCCATGAGCTTAGCTGAGAGGACTTTTCAGGGTACTCCCTTAGAACATAAAAAGAGCCCTGCTGGAGCAGACAGAAATCCATTTTGTGTCCAGCATTGTGTTCACGCACTGGCCAAGCAGCTTTGTGGGAAAGGAAGTCTACAAGCAAGCAGGAGCGCCACAGCACTCGCCCACCCCCACGCTCCAGCACTCTTCTTCTGACTCCAGAAGAAATGCACAGCTAGCAGGGTTTGTTGCTCCTCATTCTGGAGTTGGTGTAATCCCCTTCTAAGGCCATTGTTTCTGTCACTTGAGGTAGCAGATTCCATAGTTTAACCATGAACCCTTTGAGGAAGTTCTTTCTTTGCTCTGTCCTGGATCTCCCATCAGCCTCCTGGGATGACCCGTCTGGGTTCTAGTATCATGAGCAGCAGAGGGAAATGTCTCCCTGCCCACTTTCCCTGTACCATGCATAATTCTGTAAGCCACTATCATGTCTCCCCTTACTCCCCGTTTGCTAGATTTAGCTGTTCACTAATGTGTGGAGAAGGCACTTGTTCTAGGCATAGCTGCAGGGAGAAATGGATGGTTGAGGCTCCTGTCATTGCTTAATTGACAGTATCTCCTGATGCTGCTGCACCAGGCTTGTTTAGAGGTTCTGCTTTAGATCATTCCTCTTAAGAGACCTGGATTAACCTCTCCTCATTTAACAACAGAAGAGTGATGCAGAGACATACAAGGCCATGAAGGAAGAGCAGGAGAGAGCAGCAAAAGAGGAGAGCAGCGCTGAAGCAAGGCAGAATCAGGCAAAGCTGCTCTATCAGCAAGAACTGGAGAAACAGCTTGAAGAGCGAGAAAGACGGAAGCAGGCAGCCTATGAGGAGTTCCTAAGGGAGAAACTCTTGATCGATGAAATTGTGCGAAAGATTTACGATGAAAATGAAAAGTTAGTCTCATTACTGCAGCCACTGTCTAACTTGGGTGATCGTGCCTTTCTGCATCCCTGAGTGTGGGTGGGCTTAGTGTGCTTCGGGTTGGAATTTCTTTGCCCCCCATTATTGCGAGGCTGGTTTGCGTCCTCTGATGTGGATGCATTGCGTCTGGTGAGAAATTCTCCCAGGTCAGGAGGGTTCCTTGTCTGACAGTTGCTTCTGGTTCCTGACACCTCAGTCGCTCCTGCCCACTGTGTGTTGGTTCCGCTGCTTTCTGAGGAAAGAACTCGACTGAACTTGCAAACTTTTCCCCCACAGAGCAAAACAAGAAAGGCTAGAAAAAAAGAGAGCAACTCAGAGATTTATAGAAGAATTCAAAAAGGATCAAGCAATACGAAAGAGAAGGCAGCGTGAAGAGATGGAGGAGGAAAACAGGAAACTACTGGAATTTGCCAACATGTGGCAAGAAAGAGAAGACAACAGGATGGCAAAAGTCCACGAAACTGAGGAGAAAAAACGAAAGCTCCAGCAAATGGTATTAAAATGGCTTTTACATTTCCTTGATTTGGTACAAGATATGATACCTCAGTCACCTAAAATCTTTCTTCATCTTGATGGCAGCTTACAGAGGCTCTTGAAAAAGAACAAAAAGAGCGAGAAGAACTTGAACAAATCCGAGCAGAACTGTACCATGAAGAACAAGCAGAGGCAGATAGAAAGAGGGAGATGGTAAGTACCAAAGGGTTTCAAGTGTTGGGCGTAGGACAATGCAGGCCTACTTTGAATAGAGTTCATTTTTTTAAAGAACAACTGCAGGAAACATCCCACCGTGAATGTCAGCTTCTCTCTCTTGTGTCAGTGATGCATGTGCTTGCCCATGTGTCTGCAGACAAGGTGAACACAGAAGCCAAAACCTTTGGGGGTCTCTTCAGACATAGGCACGAATCTAACACACTGATTGTGTTTTCCTAAGAGCCATGAATTAAACAGAAATGAGAGGAAGGGAATGGGAGAGGGTGTCTGAAAAAAGGGGAAAATAAAGTTGCAATTTAAATTATTTCCATGTTTCTAGTTAAACTGTGACTTGTGGTGAAAGCTTCTGTTGCTCTTGTGAGTGCTCTTTACATCCAAGTTGACTTTTAGCAGTGTGTTCCAGGATGGCAAAATATTTCGGGTCCTAGTCATTGGTTTGGGCTTGCCTCCAGTGTAGTAGTGGGGCTAGTACTGCCTTTCTCAAACCTCTCTTTATGTTGTGACACCCAGGCACACACCCCTTGCCTGGCATCCTTTCCGTGCTTCCAAGGTAGTGTTTGGCGTTTACTGCTGCACAGAGGGTTTCATGGTAGAGATACTTCCAGCAATAGGCTTGGGACCACACGACCTGACGGAACGCCTCTTTCAGAGGTAATCTGCCCAGACACTACGATTACGATCTGGGCCTGCCGCCAGTCACCACTTCTGAGTGAGGCTCTGCTGGGGGCAACAAGGAGTTCTTTAAAGTTTGGCTTGAAATCTGGCTTCTAATTTTCTACTGTAATTTTTACCTCTGTATTTTATTGTATTTTGTGTGCTGCTCTAAACTGCCTAGGGAGAAATAATAACAGTAATCCATAGTCATTTCTACAAATCGAGTGTGAATTAGGGAGGGTACTTGGCTGAGGGTTATTCAGCCTTCTAGTCTCAGAATTTGGCTGGCTGCAGAGGAAGGGTGCCATTATCTTTACCTTTTCTCCCATGAGCTATTCTTTGTTCTTTAAGCAAGGCTGAGGCTGACCAACACTTTGTGAGATACTGTCCTGGAGAAATTGCTGATGTGCCTGCATTCTGCAGAAGCAGTATCTTGTCAAATATGCCATGTTGTTTTTCTTGCACCTTACTACAAAAAATACAACCCTGCAAATCGGCATGCTAATTATATTGGTGCTAGAATGGATGTCATGCACAGTTCTTGTCCCATTTGCTCTCTTCTTTTAGGAGGATATGGAGAAGAAAATTAGGCAGCGTTTAGAGTTGCGGAAGTCATACGAAGAACAACTGGCCATGAGGGAGGTGTTGCTGCAGGCAATGAAAGAGGAGGAGGCCATCTTCCGCCAAACCATGCTTGCTAAGTTTGCAGAGGACGATCGTATTGAAAAGATGAATGCTCAGAAGCGAAGAATGAAGCAGCTGGAGCACAGGAGGGAAGTAGAGCAGCTTATCGAGGATCGGCGCAAGCAGTTCCTGGCCGACAAGGTAAGCCGGGCCTCTTCAGACTCGGGCTTTGCTTGGAGTCTGAGCACAGCTAACAGTGCAGCTTTCTGTAGTGTAGACCAGCATTTCGAGCTGGATAGGAAAGCACTGGAACCAAGCCATGGGTAGAGCTGCACCTGGGCCAGGTGGGGTCATCCAGACCAGGAAGAAAGATGGAAATAAAATGGTAATAGGTAACAAAAAGCAACCGGAATTTGGTAGACAGACTAAAATGCTTGTTTGCTTTTGTTTATTAAAGGTGAAGGACCCTCATTCCTGCATTTATTTTGAACTAGAAAACAGATGCACTTTTATTTTATTTTTAGGAGCGTGAACTGGAGGAAAGACAGTTAGACGAAAGAAGGAAAGGAATCATTAGTGACATCATTGAGGAAGAGCGACAGAAACTTCTTAAGGAACATGCTGTTAAACTATTGGGGTATCTTCCCAGAGTAAGTTGTGCACAATTTAATAGCAAAGTAGGTGCAAGAAAGATGGTGAGTGCTTTGGAAAGCCACCTGTTTTCATGTGTGCCTGGGATGGCTCAGACAAATCATGGGCCTTGCCAAAAGCCTTCCTTGTAGTGCAGTTTAGGGGCTGCTATGCCAGAAGACTCATGAAAAGCCTCATCTGTTCTGAACAGCTTTACTCCCTGAAAGTTGAAGAGTGCTTTTCTGATCTGAGCATGGAGTAGATCTATGCAGCTCCTCATGGATCGTAGCATTGTTTCTCTTAGATTTTGATAGGTCAGTGAGCAGCTGATTGCCCACTTTTCGGAATGTGCTTCAGACCCCTCCCCCTAGGCATTGCTGTGACAACAGGCCAAAGTAAATAGTGTTTTTGTAGACAAAGCAACAGAAAATAGCAGAGGGAACTGCCTGTATAGCTACTGGAGTAGCTGAGCAGCTGGATTTTCTTCTTTCAATTTAGGGCAGTGACAGGCAGAATGTAAACCATGGTCCACTGGCCAGTTTCTGATGGACCACCTGACACCTGCTGGTTGATATACTTCTTGCAAAGAAGACTGTATTCAGTGGGTCTTGACCTGTTCAACAGGAAAAGTAGATAAGACTCATTTCATGCCAATTTGATCAGCCTCAGCTGTTACAAGGTCCTGCCCATCAGTCCTAGCTTTTTCAATGTAATGCGCATGGGGTGAGGGCTGTAGTAGGCAGCCAGCCATAGAAGAAAAGAAGCCACCCACCCTGGTTGGAAGGGGAAATGAACAGGCTGGAGTGGAGCCCGGCTCAGCCGGAATACAAAGGTAGAAGAAAGAGCTGTTAGATGACAGTGGATTTAGGGAAGGAGAGAAGACAGCCAATTGTGTGGAACGGTCCCATTTTGATCTGGTGAGAGAGCTGCAGACAGGTGAAGAGGGCAGGGCCGCCAGTTCCTCTTGTATGCAGTCCAGCTGTGTGATGGGATTGTTTAAGGCAGCAGTCTTGGTGAGGCTGGGGGCCCTTGAATATACAGGAACTCAGGGGAAACCTACAACCCCCAAAGCACTGGAGCACAGGACGTGTATCACTCAGGTAACATATTTTTACCAACTCATGAGGGCTGTATTAGTACACTAACTGCAAGTAGCATTTTTAAGTGACTTTAACTGTTTTCTTAATTCTGTTAGCCACTTTTTTATGCAACTAGTTCTTCCTGCACCAAACTCCCCCCTTCATTTTTAATCCATCCTGCAGATGTGACTAAATCCATCAGTTCATTTTCCTTCTTTTTACCTCACTGTTTACTTTCTTCCCTCCATCACCATCTCAGTTCCTCCAAGTGGCAACAGCTCAGCTTTTCTTTGTAGCAATTACAGAACCGTAAGACTGGAGAGGAGTTCCAGCCCCTGCTCAGTACAGCACCCTTGACAGGTGGCTGCCTGTTCTCCACATGAGCCCAGTGCAAGGAGAACACTCCAGCTCCCGAAGCAGCTTGTCCCGCTCTCAGACAGCTCTCACCATTAGGCATTATCTCCTACTGTTTAGCCAAAATTTGAGTTCCTGAAATGCCCACTATTGGTTCTGGTCCTCCCCTCTAGAGCAACAGAAAGCAAATCTACTCCACTTTTGGTACAATGGCACTTGTGATAATAGAACATAGTCATTATGTTCCTCTTTAAATTAGTTCTTCTCCAGGCTAAACTTATGCTACTCCTTCCAAGCTCTTTTAACTGGGCTGTGTGTGGTTGTCCTCATGACACACTTTAGTTTGTTGGTGTCCTCCGTAAAATGCTGTGCCCAGAGCTGGACATGGTAGTACAGAAGTGCTGAACAGAGTGGCACATTAGTGCCACTGGGTGAGATGTTGTAAAAGTTCTCCTCCTATTTTTTCAGCTGCAGAGTAAGTGCCTGCAGCTGGAACCTGCTCAAACATCCAGACACTCGAAGGGAATGGCAACAGAGGCACCCTTCCTGTCATCGCCACGTTGGTGGTGCTTGGATGGCCTTTGATGTGCTAAAAGGAGGTGGGGAGAGGGCCGCAGACTGTGAACTTCGAACAGTGAGGTGCAGCCAGTCAGGCTGCAGGTCTGCTCCTCCCACATGCCCCTTCTCAGCCTGATCCATTACAGGGGGCAGGGCTGCTTTATCCCAGGATATAATGAAGAAGTTAAAGTGCAAAATAAAATAAAGCACACACTGTATTATTATTGAACAGTATGTGAAAGCTCTTGAAAATTAGGTAACTTGAGAAGGAAAAAAAAGATACAGTTCCTGACTAAATTAACACAGAGAAATTCATTGCTTACGAGTCGCAAGAATCACAGTCTTGAACATGTCTCTCATGGAATACTTGCTGTGCATTCAGGGAATCCTTAAAGATGAGCAAGATGTTGACATGCTTGGAGAAGAGTTCCGGCAAGCTTATCAGAAGAACAAAGGTGATGGGCTTACAGGAGGCAGCTGAGACTTGATTTTGCTTCGGGATGTACTGCAAGAGGCTGCCTGATGGCATAGACGGCAACACGCTAGCTGCAAAGATGTCTTTCTTCTAACCCACTCCATGTATATTTCAACTGGGTTGATTTCTGTAGTGATAAATTACTTCTTTCACAATAATTCTCATTTCATACTTTGTGCTCAGTTTGGAAACCTATCTCTGGATTTAGCTTCAATTGAGAGAAACGGAGCAGCCCAGGAAGACGAAGGCTGATGGCTTTTGGTGTATTTATGCTAAAAATGCTTCCAAGAAGTAAGTAGCTGAAATATTTACATCCTGCTTAACCAGGGCTTTCAAGCGAGGAAACTCATCTTTTTGGAGCCATTTTTAATGTGATAGAAGATGCACAGTCAGTGTTCAGCAGCTACAGCCTTCCCTCAAATGGCGTTCTCAAGATGTTGGCCTACCATGCTGGGCATGATGAGAGTGGGAGCCCGTTGGCTCTGGAAGTTGGAAAAGGCTGAAAACCAAATGAAAGGTGACCCAGAGAAATCAAAGGACAAGTCTCAGAAAAGGACTGCTTTATTCGGAAAGCAACATTCCTTTGTTAAGATACTCATGTAACAAACTGTACGATTTAAGGGCACTACTTAGGTTTCAATGGAATGTGTGAAGTACAGCAAATGTTCAAGCAATTCTTGGTAATCTGGAAGGCCAACACAGATTCCTGTCAGAAAAAGTTCCGCTTACCTAGCTAAGTTTTGAAGAAAGAAGGAAACAGCTAGCCAGAACTACCATGGGAAAGGGGGGAAAGATTTTATATTACTGAGTTATGGTTTTTCAGAAGACTTAACATGCTTAAAAATGGATTAGTAATCCTGAGCCAACATTGGGCTAACTGTTAATAATTCACATCTTCATATTGCTGTTCATGCAGAATTTCCCCATTCCAGTGCTTTCATAAACTCCTCTTCAGTGAACGAAAGCATCTTAGCTGATTCAATGTGCATCTGAGGAAAGGAAACATCATTCCTTGAGTAAGAAACCAAGTTAGGAATTCTCTCTCTCAGCCTTTCCCTGACAAAAGTTACTGCTTCCTTTAAAAATATCTGTAAAGCCAAAATGCAGGGGAAAAGGAAGCTCAAACAACAAACCCTTGTCCTTTTGTATACTGTAAAGCCCTCTCAAAAATGTTTTGGGTCCACATCTCTGCAACGGCAATCGGAACCCTGCCTGCAAACTTGTGCTCCACTTCTACCCTAGCAGCACCTGTCTGGCTGTGCTAATGAAGCTACTGTATCTTTGCGCTGGTGTCTATGGGCCGTGTGTTTCTTGGGATGGTTTAAAGCACAGGAGTTGAAGCTGCCACTCCAGGTGCTGTTGTCTTCTGAGTCTAGGCTGCTGCGAAGCCAGAAGCAGCCCCAGCTGTTTCCAGACCTCTCAGCATTGCACAACTTCCCTGGCAGTGCGTCACTGTCTGTATTTGAGGGGATCGATATCTGGAACCAGCAGTGGAGAACTTAGCATGTGCAGCTGCTTGTCCCCATTTTCTCCACTTGCCCATGTGGAAGACACACCTAGGCAATGCCGTGTACAAGGGAAGTCTGGACTTACCTATCCAAAACACCGGCATCCAATCTTTAAAGCCACAAACCTTCTCATGAAAGTTTCAAAACCTTCAAGGTTTCTACTCTGGCTGATCTTAGGACCTGAGCAGGTCATAGACAGTCCTCACATGTTGGATGCCTCCAGATAAAAGTTTGATCACACCTTTCACAGCATTTTATGGAGGGCCCAGATGACATCTTTTAACTAGAATTCTCCTGGCTTTCCCACCATTCCTTCCATCTTTCTTACCCGGAAAGAAGAAAACACTAAGGATAAAAGATGGCATAGATGCACAGTACCTTTGGATTGTTAGCACCAGGAGCCCTCCACCTGGAAGCCCCCCTATTCCCAAGCCATTTAGAGCCCTAAAGGTGATGAGCAGGACTTTGCCTGGGCTGCTCCACTTCCAGGAAAATGTTTAGAATGAGTCTTAATGCTGTAGGCAGGCTGGGGCAACAGACCATCTCTGCATGCGGTTAATTGCTCTTGTCATTAAGATGAGGAACTGCTGTGCAAGAGTGTGTGTCCCAGTTACCAAGAGAGTTATGCAGGAGGGCAGGAAGTCATTCTCTCAGCTTATATTTTATCCTTGTATTTGGTAAAACAAATGAAAAATGGGAAAACATAACTGCAGGTCTAGTTTGAATGCCTTACAAATTACCAGCAGCACAAGCTAACTTGCCTTTTGTCTCTTTAAAATGTCAATTAGTTTTAATTGTTTCTTGAAACCAGCCATCAGTTCTTCTTTTTGTTTCTCCAGCTTCTTGTTTTCAACTTTCAGTTCTTCAAGCTTTTTATGTTCTTGGTTGACTATATCCTAGTGGCAGAGCAGGGATATAAGATGTACGTTAAACTTGCAAAATACTATAAGCATAGTCCTTTGGGGTGTTTTAAGCAGAATGGAGGCAGCTTTTAAAAAGGCAGCTCGATAATACCATGCAGGTAATGAGCCACTGCGCATGATGTTTACGGACCCTTTTCAATCCTTGACACTGTTTGTATTTTATTGTGGTTTTTATTTTCTGAACAATTCGTAATCTGCCTTGCTTAGTTTCAGAAAGGTGTTAAGTAACCTAACCCTAACCCTTAAAAAAAAAAAAAAAAGTACAGGGTTAGGACTTACAATAGCAATGGTATCTGGGTTCCACCCTTACAGGTAGCGTAAAAGCTCTTTCAAGCAAGCAGCTTTAAGGTCATATTTTCAACTACTCTCTGCCATTCGGAGGTGCTGTACAATATGCAAATATCCACAGACAAACAATATACAAATATTAATAACTGCCCTGAGATTTGTATTTTAGGCACACAGTAACAGCTTCCAGGGATCTATAATTCTGCAATCTGGCCCTACAGAACTTTTACTTCATATTGTATTCTGATCAAATACTGGCATATGGGTAAGGCTGAGGCAGTATGGTGGTTCATTTCAGCCATGAGGCTCACAGGATGACCTTCAGTTACACCTGCCTGAAAGGATTCTTGTGTGGATAAAAATTAGATCCTCTTTTCTGAACTCTGGGGAGCAAACACAGGAGACTCTGGTTTTTACAGGCCACTCTAAATTCTTATGCCTTCAGATACACTGGGTCTGTTTCCAAGTTTGTTGGATTTTTCTGTTCTTTGGGTTAATGAGAGCCTACCTTGTTACTTTGCTTCAGTTTATTCAGCTCTGTTTTATATCGCTCTGCTTCCTCAAGAGCTCTGTTCAAACGAACTTCCATTGTACCCTGGCTGGCTGAAGCCTGCTTTTGCGCCCTTTTCAGATTCTCCAGGTCCTGTTGCAGCAAACCAGATCAGAGAAGAAACTGGGGTTCCACATCCACAGCTCCTGGGGATGGGAGTCACTCAATTCCTCCTGCACAGTTTAGCCCAGAGAGCTGCAGCATTCTATTCTATGTGTCTCCCAGAAGGAGCTCCCAGAATGCCTGGCTTGCCAAGTGCCAGGGCTCGGGCCAGCCAACTCCTGCAAAAGGATGCAGAAACATCACTCCAGCGAGGAGGAGGGAGTGAAGGCAAATCGGGGCAGTGGTGTTCCTAACAAGTCATACCTTCCTTTTTGGCTGTCAGAAGATGGGTAAGGATGTGAGTGCGGCTGCTCACTTTCTCACTGTGGCAGCTGCTCCTCGATGACGTGGGTTCGGTTTGGGTTATATTGCTTCACCGCAGTTTACTGATGTTTGCCTAGTGGGTGCACCACGTTCAGCATGGCAAAGGGGAAACAGGCTGCTTTGCTGGGAGTGAAGGTGGGGGAACCCTTCCTCTTGGTCGACACAAGAATGCCCTGCTAAGAAGCCACATAAGGTCCCCCCGCCCCGCATGCGGGGCTGCTTCACACACAGCGGGCCCCCCTCAGCCCATGGGGCTAGCTTTCCCTCGGGAAAAGAAGGGGTGACACATCCGAGCGTGCCGGTACTGCTCCAGCAGCCAATAGCATGGCGGGGAGGAGCGTGCCTAAACTGGCACTGGCTTCAGGGGCACAAACGCAGCTCAGGACCTGAATGCGTTAAGCAAGAATGCTTATATTTTTATTTATTTATTTATTAAAACATTTCTGTTTTTTTGTTTTCCTTTTTGACCAGTGGGTGAAATTAAGGCTGGTCAGTCCAGCTGCATATTTTATCGCCTGCTGGTGCCATGCACACACACACAGCACCTGTCTGCAACGTAGCAAGAAAGAGGCCCAAATGGCCTTACTACCTTTTCTAGCATGGAGAGCCTCTGCTGCAGTCCATCACTTTTCCTGTTTGCCTCCTCTGACATAGCTTTGTACTTTTCTGTCTGAGACTGCTGTAGATTTGCTGTGCGCTGCAGCCTTCCACGCTCGTCTTCAACCTCTTTGAGACGGCTGGTTAAACTCCGATTCTCATCATCCTGCAACCCAGGACAGACAGACAGTTGCAGATAGTTGGCAGTCCAAGTGTTAGGGTATTTTTGTGAAAAAGAGGAGGAGCTGAAAAACTATCTTGGTTTAAACCACAACACTCCCCAGCAAATGTGGGTGAGCTGATGGATTTCTGGAGTAACACCACGGCCTCCTGCTCCAGAAGGGCCCGGTGGCACGGGTGGAAGGCAAGAGGGGGAATTGGCTGGGCAGCATGGACGACAGGGGAAGTGCCTCTAAGCTGATTCCCCCACATATGCATCACTTCTGATAGACGTGAGCAGGAGGGAGGGGAATTGGTGGGGCAGCAGAGCTCAACCGATTCTCCATTTATGCCCCTTTCTCACTCCCACTTGCCAGAAAGGCGTTCCTAATCCGGCATTCATCCAAGCAACTTTCTGGCAAATGGAATGAGAACAGGGGGCAGAGGGGAGCTGGTGTGTGGCACAACCCCCAATGGATACTGCTGCCCATCTGCTTCTCGCACCTCCCACTTGCATACCTGGAGAGCAGCAGTGGGGCAACCAGCTGGACGGCGCTGTCCCCCACCAGGTGCCACTGCTTGGTTGCTCTTGCCCAGCCACACTCTGGCCCTGGTTCCAGCCGCGGTTTTGGATTGCATTGTCTTTTCCAGGTTGGGCAGTACAACAAGCCATCACAATACTGAGAAACCATAGAACAGGCTGCTGATGTTTGTTCAGGCTTTCTAAAAGTCAACTGTATCTTGCTGAAATACTGTGATGGGGTTCAGATGACACGATAGGCCAACAATGGTAAAAATGGCTATCGGATTGTGTGAACCTGTCCAAATTATTCCAGTGCCAGCAAGTCCCCAGATTGCATCTCAAGGCTTACCTTTCTGCCACATTCCTGAGCCACTGCGTCCAGCTCCTCCTGCATAACACGCAGCTTTGCCTTTAAAAACCGGATCTGGGCTTCTGCAAATATACAACAGCTGCATTTAATGCACTGGCTTGATCCACCATTCTGGACCAAGGAAGAGAACTCAAAAACCCCACAGAGCACATTGGAGACAGTTCTATTGACAAAATAGTCGAAGACTGGCAATTTCAGAACCTTCCTGATGGAGCCCGAGCCCAAGGAAACAAGCAGCTCTCAGGGCTTTCAGGATGGATGTACAAGCCCAAGGTCCCGAGGGATCACAGTGGGTTTTTGTGCAATAGCACCAACTGCCTCCCAGGACCATCTCTGCAGGGGCTCCATGTAGACAGCCGAGCCACCTTAGCTGGGTCACTAGGAAGTGGAAAGCATGGCTGCTCTAGCAGTACCGTGGAAGATGTAACAAAAAAATAAACTTGGATACAGGCTGCAGACTTCACGCCATTCACTGAAACATACCTCAGCTTCTTCACTTTACTGATCATCTCTACTGCGCTTGAGATAATGGGAAAAATTCAGCTGTTGCTGTGGTGGCCTCAATCTGGGTTTCCCCTGGACAGCTGGTTGGCCACTGTATGAACAGAATGCTGGACCAGATGGGCTTTCGGCCTGACCTAGCATTTGGGTTCCTCTTACCTTCTTGCACAGCAAGATAATGGCAGCCAAAGATGGACCTACCAGCTCCCATTTCGCTTCCTCCACTGGGAAGGAGGTCATCTTCTAGATCAGGCAAGTGTCCTTCTTCAAGTTGTCCTGCAATTTTCCCAATGGTCTTTGCAAGAGAGAAGTCTGGGACAGCAACATCAGCGGCACTTGGCATTTCGTGCGATCTTCCTTTTGCACTGAAGAAACAAGGGCAAGAGCCAACAATCTGATGGGGGCATACCTTCCCATCAAAAAGGAGACTATTTCATGCCTGAGCCCTATAAACAGGACCAAGAATGCCAGCGGAATGGATCACTGCCAGGCTCAGGGCTGCAGGATGCCTGGTGCTGGGGGACTGGCTTCAAGAGGCTGTCCCTCGACATCCAGAACATTCCGGAAATGGGTGCACTTGGGAAGGCTCTGCCTAGCTTACTGACCGAGGGTATTTCAATACTTGTTCTTCACCTCTTGTACTCTGTGCAGAGATGAATGACTAACTCATTAAACTGCCTGCGGTCACGCCATTGCTATGATAGGATGGGGTCAGAGCACAGGTGGTGTAAACTTAAGTACCTTGACAGAGGTCTTTTCCCCTTCATTCCAGATGGTAGCCCAGGTCGAGCGGTAGTCACAGAGTGAGATGCCTTCTTGTTTGGTTGCTGAAGAAAGTTCACAAAATAAGCCTTTTGACAACCCAGACTGCATTTTAGTTTTGAGTGCCCCTTTCTGCTCTTGCTTAGTGTTTCAGGGAAGCCTCTGAAGTTTGCCCTGACTGCACAAGGGTTAGGGACTGGGGAGCCAAGGTTCAGAGTCTTGTCCAGGCACCAAGCTCACGGTGCACTCCCAGTGCAGCCCCTCTCTCAGGGCTGTGGGGAGGGCAGAGTGGCATTCCTCGAGAAGCACCATCCAAGGCTCCTTGGAGAAGCATGGAGAGACGCTGGGATCATTGTAAATGCGTGGGCAGCGTGCCTCCTGTGGATTGAGATGTCCGACTTGTAACTTTCTAGCTTCTTCACATCAGGAGGTGGCCGGGGCCCGTCTTGCCTGCTTTCTATCAGAGCTCGTGCTGTGTGGGAGCGAGGGAGGCACAGGCCTCAAGCTACCGGCCTCTCTCCTGCAGAGGGGAGGTGGCCGGGATGGGCTCTTTCAGCAGACTCCCTCCAGGCCTGCAGGCTGATTCTGTAGCTCTTCACAGGCATCGGGTACATCTAATCTCACATGTGCTGACTCAGGGGCCTGTCCTGTGGAAGGACTACAGACCTCTCTGCAGGCACTTTTGCATAAGTGTCGCTCAGTGTCGTGGGACTTCCTTCTGAGTAAACCCATTCAGGATTCTGCTCTTAGCGTAATGAGATCAGTATAATAAGCATTTTAAATATTTCCTAAATTATCTATAGAATACATTATACCTTAATCTTAAAAAGTCCATGTCTGGGATCAGGAAACATTTGTCCATGACCCCAAAATCAAGTTCAGAAAATGTGGAGGCCCAGTGGCTCCGTTACACAGCAAGCCTATCCTGGGTGTTGAGCAATGACGCCAAAGATAATCAACATCCAGTCAACCAGCATGTTAACAGATAAGGCAGAGCAAAGAGAGAAGTCTCCTCTTCCAGCCTCTGGGCTTGTGGTATGGATTTCTTCACTCACCACTGCCATTGGAAGAGACACACAGCAAGTGTGACCCTCCTGTTCTGAGAAGACAGCAGAATGAAACCCCATCTTACTACCTTATTAAGTCCAGGAGGAGGTGTTGGCAATTCAGGCGAACATAAATCTCTGGAGAGAAAAAGAAAATTGCTGTGAATAGCTTATGTTGAAGAATAACATCATTGGGTGGTATATTTTATTTAATTGTGTCTTTTCTTTGAATTTACCCAAACTGTGGAAGTAAAGCTTAATGATGCAAAGCACTCCAATCTCTTTTCAAGGAAGTTTTGACTCTAAAAAGAGCTTTGACCAATGGAGTGGGCGCGCAAGCAGCCCTGGGAGCTGACTGCGGTTCTGCAATCCAGGGGAAGCCCTGGAGGGTTCCGGTGCTGGCACCACGCAGGACTGTCTGTGCAGACAAGGAAGGAAGGAAGGCATCAAAGCAGCCAGGAGCAGACCTGAGGCAGGTGCGCAAGCTCCTCTGCAGCCTGCTGGTGTCTTGCTCACTGAGAATGGGCCTGCTGCTCAGGCTCCTGCCTGCTGGTGAGGAGGACAGTGGTGCCGTTTGGACCAGGGCCATTGTGAGACCAGCCGGTGCTACAAGGACAGTCATCCCTCAGTAATGTGCCACCAGCCAGTGCTCTGGTTGCTCTTCTGCAGCAGCTGGCTAGAGAGAGACCCTGGAATTACTGAGGAGCAGCCCTGCAGCCAGCTTAACCTCGATGGGCTATGCTTCCTGGACCTCCTTTCTTTTTCTGCAACTCTTTTCTTCAGTTAGCTGGGAAGAATGGTCAAAACGCATGCTGCCTGGAGGCCTCGTTCCCCCTGCATCTGTAGCCTGTGCTCAGCTGTTCACTGCAAATCGACGGGGGAATATGCTTGCTACCCATTAAGATGAGCTGAATGTGTGGCAACACAGTTATGAAGCAGAGCCTGGAATGTCAAATTCATGCCTGGTAGCACGGGAGCAAGATACAGGGGGCCCACCTGTGGGCACATCCTCATTTGCATCAGGGCTTAGGAACAGGGAGGTACCATATTCCAGCAACTCTCAAGTGATCTGGTGGTCAAGGAAACCACAATAACACAAACGCAGCAAGTCCATGCTGAAGTCTACCGGTCAATCATGTCACCGATTAAGGCACGCCCCCAGGGAAGGCAAGGGGCAGGAAGCACCAAGCATGCCTGGAAGGTGGGAGTTTGCATAACCAGTCCTGCAGATGTTACCAGCCCCGCTGCCACAATCTGGAGCAGAAGCGGCAGACGCCCTTCAGATGCTACCAGCTTGTGGTGTCCTGTTGTTCTTTAGACCTGGCTGGAAGCAGTCATGGCTGGTCCAACCCGTGGACGGGGCTGGCACAGTAAAAGGAGCAGCAGGGCAGACTGCGCATCTGTTTCCAAACGGGCCATTCTAAGCTTCTGAAATAAAGGCCCAACTGCCTGTCCCTGCAAGCTTCGGGCTGAGCGAGGCGGAAGAATGCAGTTGTAAGGGCTGGGCTGAGGCACAGTCTGCAGAGAAGGCAGAGGGCCAGAAGGGCCACTGTGCTGAAGCCAAGCCCACCCCTTACGATGAGTCGAGGAGAAGTGACTGTAGCTGCAGCACAGACCAGCAGGGATGGGACCCAAGGCCCCGGCTGACAACATGCCTTCCATGTTTAATCCTGTGACACCAGATCAATGGAGTGTATGGGGAGGGGGCAGCATCTTGAAAGAAGGTGGAGGGAGAAGCAAGCAAACGGGACTGAAACAGGAGAGGGAAGAGGAAGGGGAAGACCAGGCAGCTCAGGGCAGAGCAGAAGACAAAGACCGTACTTCCAGCATCTAGTTCCCCATGTTGGTTACAGGCTTGGCTCATGGCCTTCAGAAAAGCTGATTTGGCAGAAACAGAGAAGCCCAAAACACCTATGCAAAGGTAAGAAGAAAACTGACCATCAGATTATATTCTGAACAGGGAAGGCAAGAATGACAGCTGTGGGAAGTGCCTGTGAATGTTCTCCCAGCAGCTCCAGGTGCACAAACTGGCAGAAGCTGGAATATTGACAATGAGAAAGGTAGCACTTGCTGTGTATGTGTTGTGTGTGTAGGCTAGAAATACATCACACAGAGGCAGTTTTTCCTATTGGCTGCATACCACTTCCATTGTTACTCTGCTTTGAAAAAGTGTACACATCAGAATCCTCAATGCACTGCAGCTTCCTCTCGTGGCCTGATACAGCAGGCAGCCTGGTTTTCCTTGCAAGTACTCGCAGGGGCGGCATCAGATCTGTCAAGTGCAAGCATCTAGTCCACATACACAGAGTAGCTGGGAGCTCTGCCATGTTCCTGGCACTGATTCTGCCTCCAGGCTGCCAGCGGCTCCACTCCTCTCTGGACTAAATCTGTGACCCTTGCCTTGGTTCTCCTTCCACCTTCCCCACCCTGGCCCTGGAGTTCCAGTCCTGGAGCTGTCCGTGTGCATAAGGCATGTACCTCACCTGCCAAGCCAAGGACCTTCTCATGCAAGGAGTGCTGCTGCTCAGCTGGCCACCCTGCAAGGCTCACCTGGGGCCATTCTGCTTTCTCGCTGCAGTGAGTTCCCTAAGAGGAAGCACTCTCATTCTCTCTCTGCACAATTTCCACTCTAAGAGGCACTCTCTGTTGTGCAAAACCGGTTGCAGTCTAATAGGGAAAGGAAAAATATTTACCTCTGATGTTTGGCCTCTTCATCAAACAACTCCATCGGCGTGGACACTGGCCTGGACAACTTTTCCTGTTGGTCTCTCTGCAGCGAGGGGTCAAAAGGGTTAGGGTTGGGGTGCACCTTCCAGTGCCCGAGGTGCCAGAGCGCGGCCCCAGGCGCTGCACTCACCAGGACCTCCTCCGCCTGGCGCACCAGCTCCGCCGTCCTGGCCTCCAGGGCCGCGTTCGCGCGCCTGAAACAGACGTGCAGAGGCGCCAGTGGCCGCGGCCGCGAGCGAGCGAGCGAGCGAGCGAGCGAGCCGGCCGTGCGGGGGCCGCTCCCGCCCGGCCGCGCCGCCCGCGCCCCGCGTGGCCCTTACTTGTACTGCTCCTCTCGGGCGAGGAGCGCGGCGGCGGCGCTGCTGCCGCGGCGGGCGCTGCTGCCCTTTTCGGCGGCGGCCGCAGGCTGCGGCCGGTGGCCAG